CCTGCATTTAAACCTGATAACACAATTTTTGATAGATTTTTTCTTAATTTTTTTTTTTTGAGGATCTTAGAAAATTGAAAAAAGCATGCTTTTTTGATATATTGGTCATGTTTAAAGCCATATCTTTGGCATTTCTTAAACGATTCTTGTTCGGAATACCTTAAAATATTTATATTTAAACCAAAATCAGCATTAACCTGCATTACATTGATTTTTGTGGACTACTTTTTTTTTTAATAAATGCATGCTTTTTGATACATACCCCAAAGCAAATGCCATATCTTGGTCAATTCAAGTCCGATTTTAGATCAGAATATCTCAGAATACCAAGATTTGTAAATAAGTTCCCCTTCAATTTGAAACAAAACTTAAGATACATTTGTTTTGATCTATTTTTTAAACAATGCAATGCAAGAAATTAAGTTTTCGACTCTATCCAGAAAATGGAATTGAAATAAATGGGAAACTTGTGGTACTGTCATGCAATAATGAGAAACGGGGTGAGTGTGTGTGCGCAACTCCGAAACAAAATACAATTTATGCGGTTTTGTTATTACCCATTTTTTTTTTTTTTTTATTTTTTTTTTTTATTCTACACCACTTCAAGCAAATCCAGTGCATATGGATATGGTCTGCGGATGGCTGGCCCATTCATTTATCACATGGAAGCGAGTGGCATGCCAGGCGGCAGGGTGTTGCACATAAACGCATTCAGTCGACTTGCCACACACTCAGCCACACACCACTCCAGGTTGTAATTATCGCAGCGAGTCGTGTAGGGTTGTATAACATAGTCAAATCGAGGCTACTGATATTTGGATACTGATATTTGGTGGCATCGTCGGAGAAAGCCAAAATCCGATTATTTTCAATGGCCCGCGGCGTGGAAGATTTTTTATAGCTACATAGTTGGGTTCTTGTTGCCAAAATGATCACGTTAATCAAGAGACCCGCGCTTCTATTAATATCTCTAGCTTGCTCTTAGTTCATAGGCTTCTTTCTCCACGTTCTAAAGCTTCTCGAAAGAAAATAACAATTCAATTAGAAAACATTTTCACACACAAATTCACGTACGAGTATCTTTTACTTTCCCCTATTCAAGCTGAGAAGCTGAGAAGCTCTGAAGAAGAAACTTACCGCACCACATTTCCTCGAGATAATCTTCTTTGGCAGAAAATATTGATGGACTGCCTAGCTGGCTGGCTGATGGACGGGTTGATTGAATAAAAACACAACAACACTCACAGGCCGATTGGATCTTCCATGTTCTTCACAGATCACATTCAGGCGAGAAAAAAAAACAGAAACTTTGCAACCTAATCGTAGTGCATTTTTATGAATTATTTCAAAAAACGAAACTATAGACAGTGTCTTTTTGGTATTTTTGGATAAATAATTCTTTTGTTTTGCTGGTCGGCAGTTTTTTTTTCGAGGAGCGCGGCACGTGCTAAGCGAACAATGGTCGCGGCTTGTTTGAGTCTCCGGATTTCAGACGCGGCGGTCCAAACAGATCGCCCGGTTGAAAGAGACGGTAGTGCACTTGTCCAAAGAGATGGGACGAGTGAGAGTGAGAGAGAGAGTGGCGGAGAGATGGCGGAGACTGACTCGGCCAGCGGTCGGCGAAGAAATGTTAAATCCAAACGCAAAAACCATCGGACCCCGAAAGCAGTGTGCCAAGCGAGAAAGCTCTCTGGAGAGTTGAATGGTGTTCATGATACTCTACGACGATGATAAGCCTGCTCTATAAGAACAGTCTCCTCAAAAAAGACCATCTTCTTACGAAAGAGTATCTGAAAAAGTGTCTCAGATACTTTAACTATTTCCCTGCAGCACACCTGCCTTCGATGTAAACAGAGGCTCGTGTGCTCATGAGTGCTCGTCTTCGATGCGCTTTTTGCACACTGTTGGACTTTTCTTGCTCGCCTGGAATGCTTCCTCCTCACCAAGCCGGCTCGCCAGTAATTTTATTCAATAGAATTTATGCTTCTTGATGGTCAAGCTTGGCCGGCCGACTGCAGACCCAGCTCGCTAGCGGTAACGGTTGTTGCCGGCCACTTTAAGGTTTTCTGCATAATTATCCATCCATCCAGGTGCCCGCTCCTCTCCAGCTTTCCAGCAGCCCCTTTTCGATCAGAGGCGACACTGCCACTTGATAGAATGATGATGAAAGCACTCGCGATCAATTAGCCAAGCGAGTTGAAAGTTCATCCGAGTGCAGTTCGATCGATCTTAAATCGCTTGCCTAATCGCCAGCGCTGTTTATGATGTGTTTACATCGATGAACTCCCCAAGGCAGGTGGCAGGTGCCACGATAAACACTCATCAGCTCTAATTGATAATTGGTATTGTGATTGAGATTGAGAAATTTCCTCGCAGCTTGATTGGATTGAAGCGCTTTCGATGGGTTAATTCATAATTCATAATTCATCGTTTACAAAACAATACCCATGACTGAAATGGACTCTCATAGTTGCAAGGGCTAGGACCTATGAGGTCTGCAGAACCTGCAACAGAACCAGCTAGACCAGAGGAAACCCAAGCTGCTTACAAAACCCCAAAACATTACATTACAAAGGCCTTAAAAGATTACAACTTAACGAGTAACTGATTGCAATTCTTGTAATTTAGGGGATTATTTGGCAATGACTCACCTAATGGCCGCCGACTGGTGGTGATTGGCCAGCAGCCGAGCGCTGCCTCCGAATCTGGGATGCTGCAGCTGGTGGTGCTCAAAGTCCGGATCCGGCGGCATGCCTCGGCTTATCTGGCTGATCCGGCTCAGGCGACTGGCGTGGGAGCCGCGCTCTGAGTTGCACTTGGAGCCGCACAGTGAGTTCTCGCAGAAGCGACAGCACTTGTTGTAGCTGAACGTGGAGGTGCAGAGAGTGCAGAAGGAGTCCAGCTGGGATTCGGCCTGGTCTTCGTCCTCCTCGGCCAGGTCGTGGTGCTCGTGGTCGGTGGGGTCTGTGGCGCTGGACAGGCCCATGTCGATCTCGTGGTGGCGCCGTAGCTTCAGCGTCTGCGTGTGGCTGCTCTGGTCCTCGTCGGAGCAGAAGTTGTAGGCCTCGCTCTCCGTGTCCTCCTCCTCGCCGAGGCTGCTACCCGCACTGCCCCCCTCCGGACCAGCTTGGCCCGTCGAGATGCCGAAGGTGCTAAGGGGGCATGAGGGGTAGCGGGTGAGTGGAAAGGGCCGGACATTGTACTTGCTGGCCATGGACAGGTTCTCGTTAAAGTAGATTACGTTGGGGGCGGGCGCGTGCTGGAGGGCGGGTCCGGCCCGCTCGCGCTCCCTGTCCCGCTCCTTATCGCGTTCTCTTTCCATTTGATGGTCCCGGCTAATGCTAAGATCGTGGTACTTGCGCAGGAAGGCCGCATTGCAGTCCGCCGCCGTGTACTCGTGCAGTTTTTTGGGCTTTTGTACGGGCATCTGGGGATGCTGAACGTGAGGGACGCCATTTGATTGGTTACCGTTATGCGAGTGATTATTGGCGTTTCCATTGCTATTGTTGCCGCCTGAGCGCAGCAAGTCAAAGAGGCGCTGCTTGAGGTCGCGCATGGCGACATGGGGGTCTGAAAGATAAGAAAATGGCGCGTTAACATTTGAATTTTAGCTTTTTTTTACACGTTCGTCACGTTGCCAACCATTTTGGAAAAACGGCGGCAGGTGGTGTTTTCAGCTATCGATATTTTTATAACAGTGTTGAAAACGGTTTAACGATAGTTTATGTCTTGGTATTGGTATTTTATCGATTATTTGTTGGTGGCCTATTACTATTTCTATTACTTCCATCTCGAAAATAATTTAGCGATGGCTTAGATCGATTGTTTGTCCCATCGATGGTTTTAGTACAGTGTTGCCAACTTTTGAACATTCCATCTCTAACCATGTTTGGTATTTTTAAAATACTGTCAAACAGTCACACTGCACGTGCACTATTGTTATTTAGCTACGGAATATATTGCCTGTGATTAGTTTTAGCTTATTTACAACAGGTTAGCAATGAAATGGTAAACGAAACATAGATAATTATTAACGATACTCTATTTTCAGTTACCAGAACCCAGTCTAAATCCACAATGAGTAGCCAGCGCGGTAATGTGTCCCGCACACGTGCACAGAAACACAAAAATCGTCATGTTTTTAAAAACGATCTGCACGACAAAACGCCACAGCAAATGCGCCTAAACGCCATGCACGTGTCCACCGTTTGTCAGCGATGCAAGGACCAGATCGAGTGGAAGATCAAGTACAAGAAGTACAAGCCGCTGACCCAGGCGAAGACCTGCGCCCACTGCAAGCAGCGGACAGTCAAGAAGGCTTACCATGTCATCTGCCGCGACTGTGCTATAAAGGCCAAGGCCTGTGCCAAGTGCCTGAAGTCCGGCGACGAGGTGGCCATCGAAGCCCCTGAGCCAACGCCGCAGGAGGAGCAGCAGCTCCAGGTGGAAATGGACCGTCTGATCAAGTCGTTCTCGGAGCGCAAGCGCCGCGCCTTCCTGCGCTACATGCAGAAGGGCAAGAAGCAACCGGTGGAGGAGCCCGTCGACGATGAGCAGGAGGCCCAAGCGCAGGAGAAGGCCAAGCGAGTGGCGCACACGAGGGACGAGCTGCTCGACAAAATCAAACAATTGAACTTGGCCGCGGAAGACGATGAGGACGAAGATGACTTTGACTTCAGCGACGAGGATGAGGACGAAGACGATGACTCTGAATTCGATTCGGAGGAGGATGAAGAGGATAGCGAGGAGGAAACTGTTAAAACCAAATCATCTAAAGCGAAATAAACTTTTTTTTTTTCTACACCTAAAACTGCATAACACTCTTTTGAATTTTTTATTATTAAGCTTAAATCTTTTTTTTTTACTTTAATTTTCAATTAAAATTTTAAACGAAAATCTAGAAAAGAGCTTTAAAATTTCGTTTTGTTGCGAAAAGTTGCGGTCAACTATCGATAAAAGCGCAAGTGTTATCGACTTGCCGACAGCTCCGCTCTAGGGAAAATCAGCTTGTGCAAATCGAAACAAAGTTCTTTCGATTTTTAAAGCCAATCTAGAATATAGGTATCGCGTCCCCTTCATTTCACCACGTTGAAATGTAAGACTGGACATTCCTAGATTTAAATCACTCATTGCCAGATCTTTTAGCGATTGTAGCGTTTTCGTGGAAATTGGAACTTCCGGCAAAAAGTTGTGTTTTTACAAGAATTGTGCAGAATACAAAAGAAAACTGAGTTAAAAACCAGTCCGATGGCCGACAGTCCGAAGGAGCCGAACAAAAAACCCAAGAACCGCCGGGTCCGGAAGAAGAAATGCACCGCCGATGCCGCCGCGGCTGCTGCTGGCCCGTCCGCTCCAAACTCAGCCTCAGCCGCTCAACAGGGCAACTCGGGCAAAAAGAAGAAGAATAAGGACAAGAAGAATACTAGTGACGTTGTCCTGCCGGAGCAAGAGATAAGTCGCGTAGAGCAGAACGTTCTGCGCACGGCCGTGAATGATTTTATGCGAAGCGACAAGGAGAATGTCCAACTTCGTGGGCTGTCTCGGGTCCAGCGTATCCACGTGCATCGGGTGGCCCAGAGCTTGGGCCTGAAGACCTCCAGCAAGGGTCCTCCGAACGAGAGGGTCCTCACCATCAGTCGTCCCGCCGTCGTCGAACCGCAGCCAGGCGTGGTGCAGCAGCCGCAGTTAACGGTGTCCAGTGCTCTGTCGGAGATCCTCACCCAGGCGAGTGGGGAGATGGACACAAACCTCTTGCATCGCTGCACCATGTATCGCCGCCCAAAAGCCGAGCGCGAGAAGGAGCGCGCACTGGAGCGCCAGTGCGACAGAAACTACAAAAATCGCCCAAACAACAACGGCTTAGTGGGCGTGCCTTTGGTGCCTCCACCGCCTCAGTGTCGCGACAAGACTCTGGTGCAGGAACGTAAGGCTCTGCCCATCTACAGCCACCGTTCCAAGATACTGGAAGTTCTGCAAAATGAGCAGGTGAGTCCCTGAAACCCAATCCCCCGGTTGATGCACCATTCATCCCTACTTTCTGGCAGGTCTTGATCATCAAGGGAGCCACTGGCTCCGGAAAGTCCACCCAGTTGCCGCAGTATCTGCTCGAGTGGGCCTCCAACGTCTGCAGGCCCGTCCGGGTTGTGGTTAGCCAGCCACGTCGTGTGGCCGCCACCAGTGTGTCGGAACGAGTTTCCAAGGAGCGCGGCGAGTTGCGCGGCACCACCGTGGGCTACCAGATTCGCATGAACAGTAAGTCCACGGTACTCTACTGCTTTCAGATTAAATCTTAACGTATCGTCCTCCATTCCCAGATAGTTGCTGTAGCAAGACCGTCCTCACATTCACAACCAGCGGATGCCTCTTGCGTGTGCTGGCCATTGACGGCGAGTCCTTTTTTAAGTGCACCTCCCACCTGGTCATCGACGAGGTGCACGAGCGCGACCTGGACACCGACTTTCTGCTGCTGGCCACCAAGCTGGAGCTGAAGAAGAACCCCAACCTGCGGCTGATCCTCATGTCGGCCACTATGGACCTGGGCGTACTGTCCAACTACTTTGGCGGCGCCAGGGTGCTGGACGTGGAGGGACGCAGCTTCGAAGTCAAGATCTTCCACCTGGAGAACATTCTCAGTATGACTGGGTACAGGACCTCGATGATGGAGCCGCACTTGGGCGAACTGATAGACACGGAGGATTCGGACGAGCTGTTGGCGGCGTACAATGCCAGTCGCACTCTAGCGGACGGCGAGCTGGACAACGACCTGATCGTGTCCCTGCTGGAGTTGCTTCTATATCAGGGCGAGAGTGGCGCGGTGATCGTGTACCTTGCCGGTTACCACGACATGACCGTGCTGCAGGAGCGCATCGAAGACTCGCTGCCCAGGGAGATGATCAAGGTACTGCTCCTCCACAGCCAGGTGGACAACAACGAGCAGCGCAAGGCGTTCAAGGTCTTCCCCAACATCCGTCTCAAGATCGTGCTGAGCACCAACATCGGCCAGACTTCGATCACCATTCCGGATCTCATTTACGTCATCGACTCGGGTCGCTCCAAGATGAAGACCTACGACGCGGTCACCGACGCCTCTCAGCTGGCCACCGCCTGGATCTCACAGGCCGACGCCCAGCAGCGGGCCGGACGGGCCGGGCGCCTGCGCAGCGGCATCTGCTACCGCCTCTACTCCCAGGCGCGCCACGACACCATGAGCCTCTACACCATTCCAGAGATAATGCGGCGCACCCTGGACGAGATCTGCCTGCTGGCCAAGCTAGCGGCCCCGGACCAACCCATTGCCAACTTCCTGGCGCAGGCTCTGGATCCTCCCAAGCCGGAGGCCGTCGCCCAGGCGTGTGATCGGCTGGTAGTGATGGGGATTCTGCAGGCAAAAACCGAGAAGATCACCCCGCTGGGCAGGGTCGTAGCGGAGCTGCCGGTGAACGTGCAGCTGGGAAAGAGTGTAGTGCACTCCATCTACTACCGTTGCCTGGGCAGCATGGCGATCATAGCCGCCTATCACTCGGTGCGCGACCCCTTCGTGCTGCCCGTGGACCGGACAAAGAAGGCGACCAAGCCGCTGCCTCGCCACGCCTTCGCCGGGACCTGTACCAGCGACTCCATAGCGGCCGTCACTCTGTACGAGGAGTTCGTCAAGTGCTCCAAGTCGGAGGTGACCTCGTTCTGCGAAAACAACCGCGTCTGTCGCAACGCCATGCTTATGTTCGTTTCGGCTGTGAACAGCCTAAAGGACTCGGTTCGTCGCATCTTCCGCGCCGACGTGATCACCGAGCGCCTGGTGACCGTGTGGGACAACGACCCGAGCATGATACGCATGGCCCTCGCCGCCGGCCTCTATCCGAAGGTGGCGTTCATCGATCGCGGCAACAAGAACCATCTGATCTCCGAGGGGGACAGAGGCATGCAGATCTCGCGCAACTCCTGCCTGCTGAGCCGCACGAAGCTCAAGAAGCTGCCCAGCAACTGGGTGCTCTACGTGGAGAAGAGCCGCAATGCCGACCAGCGCTCCTCGCTGGAGAACACTACACTGGTGAGCACCCTGACGCTGGCGATGGCCGGCGGCAGAGAGAGCGAACTGGAGCAGCGCGAGGAGGAGTGGGTGCTGTGCCTGGACTCGTGGGTAAGGATCATAGTGCCGCCCGACTTTGGCCGGCAGCTGCAGAAGCTGCGCCAGATCATCCAGTGGGAGGTGAGCGAGATAGTGGAGAAACGCCGCATGAACCTCGGCAGCACTCTGATGGGACCGATGCTGGTCTACCGGATGCTGAAGGTGGACGCCTCGTCGATCTGTGTGGCCGAAGGCAGATCCCCGTCTACCGACCCAGACTGTGATAAGGAAAACTAGATCGTACTACTACACCTATAGACACAGACCTAAGACCTGGAGGCTACCGAAGGATCCGATTTAATAACCAAACATAAGTAGCTTAAGTAGCCCAAAAGACACTCCTTTCGAACTGAGAATGCTCCTAGAGATGCCACAGATACTACAAATACAGTGCGTTTCAAAACATACATAACATACTAAGGCCAAATCGTACCTGACACAGGCAGCGAGACTAGTTTCCGACGCGAGTTAGTTACCAAAATGTTAGGTTAGGGATTAATTTCAGAACTGATTCGTTAGTCTTCAGCTGATTTGTATTATTGTAATGGTAGCTTAAAGACGTGATCTAGTTTTAAAGTATCTTAAAGTACTTAACCTAATAGATTCAATATCGTAACCCAAACCCAAAAATGTGATATTACGAATACGATATATACGAAATACGACGAAACATGTATGTATGTATATTTTCGAATATATTTTCGAATGTTTTTCGACATCATTTTCGATCGACTCGACTGATCCAACGACTAATCCATTTACGTATTAAGGGCCAGGTATTATCACTCGATATTTAATTTATTTGTAAGCTACTTAAGAGCGCACTGTATGCTAATTTTGAATCTAAAAACTTGTAACTTTGGAAATGCAGGGACACCAAATACAACACAAGCTAAACAAAACCCTACAGGCTATAATTGGTGGGTGAAAATATATGTGCCACAAGTGCCACATGGGAAGCTTCCAACTCAGTGTCAGTGTCAGCTATGCACTGCGAGAAATGATATAACTTTTAGATACAAGTTTGGGGTTATTTTTAACCGAAATTATATTTTATTTAAATATTTTTAATATATATTTTTTAATTTAAATAGTTTTTAATTAGTTAGCATCATGAACTTTAGTCTTGAAGGTCTTTTGTTAGAAAATTGCTAGTTGCCGTTTGGGAGTTGCCCTTGCGGTGCATTGGGGCATGCAACCGTCGCCGTGGCAGCTGACGTTTATGCTCCACCTGCACCTGCAGCTCCAGCTTCAGCTCCAGCTCCAGCTCCGGCCCACCTGCCGCCCATTCAGGCGCAAACAAGAGCGGGCCAAAGAGCCAAGCTAATTGCACAGAGACGACGCAGTCAATAAACCTCGAGTCGGGCCTGCTGTCGCTGCTACAACAATGGCAGCAGCACCACCACCACCACCACCAGCAGCAACAACAAGAGGCATGCCGCAGCAGCAGCAACAACAACAAAAGGCAAGCCAACTTACTGCAAAGAAAGTGAAATTAAATTGTTATTTTTTCGGTAAGACGAAAAGAGAGCATTTCGAATCGCCGTAGACTGGGCCCTTGAGTGAAAACTAATAGATTTCACTGCCAATACTCTGGATTGGAAACCATGTCGGTGAGGAGTCTCCCGGAGATCTCCCCATCTTTTGGATGATGGATCTGACCCAAATGAACTCGTCTGTTCTTTTTTTTTGTGGCTTATCTGCAAGCCGCAGGTATGCCGCCAATAATTTGCAACTCATCAATGGGAATTGCGGGAAATCTGCGCTCTAACGGTCTCCAACGCAGATGCCACATCCCGCTTTGGGAGGAGTGTACCCAAGAGGAGTACAAATCAATTTTTCATCCATTGTACTCCAGGAGTACAAATCAATTTTTCATCCATTGTCCGATGGCAGGCATTGAACCCAGAGTGTGGCACAGTGTTGCATGGCTGGCATGGCAGTCGCCGCGATGCAGTTACTCGAAATTAAATGAAGTCAACGCTAATGGAGCGACAATAAACATGGCTAACAAGTGGCACATTCGATTGGAGTCCGCTGGAGGAAGCCGGTTGAATGCACTCCCATTCAAATGGGGACCAGCTCGGCAGGTGTCGGAGCTCGGCCAGCAGGAAGGTGTCGGAGCTTTGTGGCATTGTGGGTCAGATGCAGGTCTCTCCCTCCTCCTCCCCCGATCTCCGACAGCCCGATAACGAAATACTGCCGGCTAATGACCGGCCCTCCTCGACTGATTGATGGTCCAGAGATCTGCCACGATCTGCGATCTGCGGACTCTTTTTTTTGGGCCAACAGTTACAGTTACATAATTAACTGAAATTAATTTCGCAGAAGCTCAAAGATTGCCCACGGCCCACTGGAATGACATCATCTTTGCCAGCCAGCCTCCTCCGGCTGGAGGGACGGGACGGCACCTGTCAGCTGGCAGCTGGCATCTCGCACGGAATGCGTTTCGGTAATTCCAAAAATTCCAAATTCCGAATAGGGTATTATCATAAATATGTATGTATGTTTGTATGGGTCTGTTGCAAGTCTCGACTCCGAAATCACGCCAGTCTGTCTTGCCATCCATCTCACTGCACCGGGTGAAAGTCCCCCGGGCCTGTCTTTTTTTTGTTTTTTTTTTTGGCGGGGTCAAATCAATCAGCCTGGGCGGTGACCTTACAAAGAAGGCAAGCCGAAACAGCAGTAGGCCACCGCCGGAACAAAAGTGGGAGATCCCCTTTTCCCATTTTATCGCACCTCTGGCGAGAGAGCAACACCTTTCCAAAAAATAAAAAAAAACACAAAAATACAAGCCTAATTATGTCATTAAAAGGCATGGGCTTTTGGTTTTTATGATAATTTTTGTGGAATATTAAGGGGTTCTGGAGAACCTTCAAGTTTTGATACTCTTAGGTCCAAGAAGATTACCTGCATTACCATTTCCGAGAGGGATTAGGGCCTCCATAAGGAAGTTCCTCAATGTAACTCTGTTAGGTATGGCCTCGACTAGAGAGGCCTTAAACTAGAGAGCCTCAAATATTTAACCACCATTACCACATTGAAGAGCTGAGAAGCGTGTAAACGGCGACTTTATTGTGGCAAGCGAGGTAAAAGTGAACTCATGTGCGATTCCATGGGGGCACACCGAAAAGTAAAAGCCGAAACGAGAGTGAAGTGATGGCAAAACAGCGTCGTTTGGAGTCCAAACAAGCTCCGATCGTGATTCGCATTTGGCCATGGCCGGCCACGACAACCAGCCAGCTAGCCACTAGCCACTTTGGTAACCAACAGCAGGAGCCGGAAACTGGCTCAGGTTATGACCCGAACTGCGGAAGTCAAAGCGTCTCCGTCATAATCAATCAATATCAAGAGTCATACATACATTTGCGAATCAGACTCTGTTTATGCAACGATCGTCTGCCTTTTGTTTCGCTTGTCACAACAACTTAATGGTGCGCCATTAAGGTGCCACAAAGTGTTGCCAATGCAAATCCAAATATTTGCCAGTTCCCGAAAAATGATACTCTGCTGGCTGGCAGGTATTTCGAATTTTTATGTCTTCATTTTGCGTTTTTTATGTAAGCGAGATGCGGCAGTTGCAGCATCGCATCGATTGCCACTGTATGGCCGGGGGGAGGCGTGGCAACAACGGCGCCAATCAACGGCAAACAACACCGATAACATGAGCAACATGGGCATTAAAAAGGCAGAGCGAGAAATTTGTTGTTTTCTTCACAAATAACTGGGAATACTCTGTCTAGATGTGCCTCGTTTTTCCCAGTGTCCTGTCCAGCTAAGCTACCGTGGCAGCCACAGTCACACTCTCCACACTCTAGCTGTGGCACGGACTGGAGTGGAGACTGGAGTCCGATGTCAAGAGCCTCTGCTTCGGTCAAGCGGGAATTGAGATGTGACAGGTTGTCTGGTCAAGATTTTCCGTACACCTGAGTAAGAGTAAGCTCTCCTTCCGCCATCCTCCCCACCGACGGAGGAGGAGGAGGAGGACGAAAAGGTCACCAGCGGATCACCAGTGCACGAAAGCTGGCAGTTCGTGAGAGATGAAGTGGATTGCGCCCATGATGATATGAGCCATGATGCTATCTAAGCTCTTAAGTTTTAATTTGGCCTGTCTGCTGCACAATTGTTTCTCCGTTTGTTTTGCCAATTTCACGATTCCGGATAAGTATGGAATTATGCCGGAGGGATGGAGTGCCAAAGTGGTGGAGTGCTGGAGTGGCGAGTTGCAACCGAAAGCCACTACAACATACGCTGCGGCATGTACTTCTTGGCGGCCAGACAGACAGTGATGAATGTCCCTGAACGGACGTGGGGCGTAAGAAAAGGATTACCCGGGTCAGGACTGGATTTTCAGGTACCAACGGGAGATGGATCATAAAAATGCAAATTAAACCGCGGCTAAGCACAGCCACTAATGAGAAGAAGCCAGAGAGTGGTACAAGAGGTAGAATTTAAATAATAACAAGTGTGGACTGACAATCGATTCCCATCTGGCTCTGGAGTGCTGGCTTTCCAATTCCCCCCCTCATCTGAAAATCCCATCAAAGACAAGTGTTATATAAACCCCATGATGACTCCCGATAACTGTTCCGCCCTTAGTCTGATCTGAAGCTAATCGCCTTATGCGTTCGAAAGTTACTGGTTTTCCAGTTCAAGACATTTGTCATTGTGTTTGGGGAGTTATTGGGACTCGGCCGAGGCAGGCTTATTTATTAACGACACACACAGTAGGTTTCACTTTCCATCAAACACAAAATATAACAAATAACAATAATAAATAAAGGCAAACCACTAACAATTACGATCGGATCAAAAGAAACCTACAAATTTGTTTATAAATGTCGTACAATATTTATTTGTTGACGCCGTCATCGATTTGTCATTGTTGGGGCCCCCAAATTTATGAGGCTTATGACAATTTGGGACTTTTTTTTTTTTCATCGTCTCCCCTAAAAAGAGATTCCAAAGAGGTGAAGGGTTCACAATGGCGGGGACAAAAGATCAGAAACAGAGACAAGACCAAAACTAAGCGATTCCAATTCGAAAGCGAGCAGTTGAGGAAATTTATGCATAATTTCTGTGACAAATGCCACAAAACGGACACAGCGGCTGGTGGTGGCAGTGGAAAGTGTGAAAAGTGCATTTCCAGCCATTGATAATTATGTTAATTGTTTGGAAAAAATATCTATAGATAGATGACTAGATGGTTAGATGGTTAGATCTCTAGAAGAAATAGGGTCCACAGTGGGAAATGAGAAAATGAGCAATGCGATGGGTTCGGCAATAAATACATTTTCACATTTTGACAAAAGACTGGGTACCTCAGCTGGGGGAGCTGAGACAGAAACAGAAGCCCAACTTTCATTCTTAGACAAGACGACGATGCTATAATGATAGCAGCAGCAGGCAGAGCCACTGATTTGTTGCGGTTTCTTATTTTGCAGAGCCGAGACAAGCACTGCGCTGATTATATGGTACGTGCTATTTCATTTGCTGACAGATACAAGCTACAAAGATGCCAAGATACATACGTAGATACAACCGCAGAGTCATGAGAAGAAGTTTCCTTCAGAGCCTTACATTTTGGGGAATCGAGTTCGTTGTCTAAGTCTTTCGTTTGGAGAATTTATTTTCGCAGCAATCTCGTAGTTCTTCGCACAGTTTACACAGGCCTTCAACAGCTACAGCTCGATCATGATCATGTTGCCGCAACTCTTGGCGGCAATTATGATCCGCTAGCTGCCTCCGGGGCATGTCATCAACTCCAGTAGGGAGCTCTGCGCCTGCCCAGGAATTCTGGGAAGAGCTTCTCAGTTCCGATTTCACAGCCCCCGGGGACAGAGAGCCGAGCAGTAACTATTTATGCAAAACGGGCCGAACGGGCGGGACTTAATTTATGAATTGTAATTGAAAAGTGAAAATGGTGCAGCAGTGGTGCGTTGGGTGGTGCAAATTATGAAATTAGTATTATGCGAAACGGAGTTAAAAGTGTGATTACACCGGTGGAGCCAAGACCGGAGCTGCTGACAAAGTCACAGCAGACCGGGCTGCGTACGCGCACTCGTTCATAAAAAGTACACCACTTGCCGCATAATAAGACAATGAAAGTCGGTGTGTGTCGGTGTGTGGGGCAATTAATATCATTTCAGCATGTGGAGCTCAACTAGCTCAACTAGGTGGGGGAGTGGCAGCGGTGGCAGGGGGCCAGGGCCAGGGCTAGATGGAAGATGGGAGGCGACTTTTTTCCAAGTGAGCGAGTCGCCCGAAAATTGAAATTCCCAAGAAAGGTTAAACTACAAGGTGCTCAGGGGCTTGAGATTAATATTTTTGGTTAACGTAAGAGGGGTTCTTTGGGTTTGAAGAGTCTTCTATTATTTTTTGGGAAAATATTTTAATATATTTTCGATCCTTTTTTCCAAAATACTTAAAAGACAAACATAATCTTCCAAAATCTTTTCCAAGATAATGACATACTCACCACCCTGTAGAGCCTACCCGTTGCTACCCTCTACCCTCCACAAGTTGCAGCGACAAAAGCGTATAGCAAGCCCCCCTCTAAGCCCTCCCTGGGCCAAGGCTTATTAGCAATGGCACTTAGAATCGGATTCGGAGTCGACTCGCGTTGAGGCACGGAGAAAGTCATTCAGCTGAATGCACATGGAGCATAGTGTGTTGTCACCTGCCACATTCCCCGGCCCGCCTCCCACATCCCCCCCTTGCTTTCCGTTGCAGAAACCGCAAGCGCAGTCAAGTTCGTTGCCTAAGTCTTTTGTTCTGCAAGCCGCCAGTTGCGTGGGCAGGGCTCGAATTTTGGTTTCAAACGCCCGACAGGCCTGCGGGGCAAAGCTCTCTTACAAACTTTGATATACAATTTTTTATAAAAAAATTCAAAAAGTATTTAATCTCGAAGCCCACGGCGCCATAACACTAAGCGCCAAATGTATGTGCATCCACAAGTGCCTAGCCGCCACAGACTAACACTCGAATAAGCGCTAAAAGAAAATGAGCTGCTTTGGTAATTAATAGACCATGAATAGTTTGCCAGTCGAAAGAAAATTGCGAACCGCAAAATCAAGCCTAACTCTTCGCTAATGCGCACTTATCAAGTAAGGCCCCCAATAGCCCCAAACTAGTCGCCTCGAAAGTCCGCAGTTTCCTCCATATTTTTAGAATGATTGATCGTCCAGACGAATGGTAGCCCTAATGGATCCTTTATGGATTCAAAACTCACCTCACAGCTTGTCCGAATTGGCTATTACGTATTCCGTTTGTGCACTATTCTCTCTCTTTGTTTTCCAGTCGCCAATTAGTCAACACACAACATTATTAATTTCTGCTTTGCTTTGTGCTATTTAATTAGCTTTTTGATTTGCGCCAATTATGGGGGGAACTGTGCGGCCCAAGAACAGGAAAAAACAAACAAACAAACAAGCCAAGCTCGAGCCTGGCCACCAAAGACACAAAACACACACAACTTCAAGGACAGTATTTCAAGGATGTGCTTCCGGGGGTGCTGAAGGATCGACCGATCGCGTCCATGAGACACACACACGACTCGCGAGGTGCTTTTGGTTCGGAAAAGTGTTTTTGGTTCGGAAAAGGCAACGAACGCGGCGCCGCGAACGATCCGGGCAAACACGTTTTCCAGTTACAACGTCGGCAACGGAATGATTTGGCCAAATCTGCAGCGCCACCAGCCAGGTCCGAAATTATCAGCCGGCGCAGCCACAAGAGAGTGCCCCCAGAGAGAGGCTTTCTCTTGAGCGTGGAAAGAGAAAGAGCCACTTTGAATACCCTACCGGGTCTCGGGTATCTGGTCTTTCAGGCTAATCTATGGAGCACATAACACTGATATGGTTTCGGCTTCTGTGCGGTTTCTTCCTCGCATAAATTTCCATCGATTATGGCTCCAGGTTCCATTTCCATTGCCATTTCCAATGCCATCGCTGACTTGTCCCATTAGAGCTGTGGAGGCACTTCGTCATCGGCTGCTTTGAGTTGATGGGTTCAGTTTTTCCGATCGAACTCAGGCAAGTCGATTTAATCAGCCGTGAAGTGTTTACTTTATCAGCTCGAAAGCAGTTGGCATTGGACTTGTTCGATAAATCAATAATACCAATGGGTTTTGAATAAAAAAAACTTAAATTAAATAAGAAAATTGCAGGCTATTTAGAGATTCATAAAAACAACTGACGAATGTTTGTCTCAAAAACCTCAAGACCCTGTTGGATAATAAACTATTTATGGCTATTCTGTGTGGGCACCATTTTCAACACCTTCAGGCTTCAGTCTCCTTCAGGCTCCACTATTTGGGTCGCCTGACAAAGCCACAACGTACATTTGACTTCCCCATTTCAAATATTTTCCACTCGAGCCGATGTTGATGAGTTGCATTTCTGCATGTCGGCTTGCGTAACGACATTTGTTCACTTTCAAACATAAACATAAAAATAAACATAAAAAAAAAACAAAAAAATAAGAGTAGGAACATGGAGACCACCCACGCAGCCTAGGGCTGAGCATCAACTGGAGGCACTGCCTCCGCGGGCCGACTCTTTTAAGGCTCTCTACTGGCCAAGTTGGGCAAACCATTAATCGAAATCGGAAGCCCAGCGGCAACAGCATCGATTATGGATTAAATAATTAAAATCAAAGCCAAGGAAAAACGCGTAAGAGAAAAAAAAAACGGAGAAGCTAAAGATAAAGATGATTCAGTTCGAGATTAGTTTCGGGTAGTTTTCGGTTAGTACCGCTGAAATTCTAATGATAGAGCTGCGCAGATTGACGGCCCGCGTCTGAAAATTGTAATTGATTTTTTTTTATGTTTTCAGTTTCTTAGATTGGTGCGTTGTTTCGGATCATTAGCGAAAGATCCGTATAGAATTGAGCTATAAATTCGGCTGCTTCTTGGAGCAAAGGTATCACAATCCATCGGATCTTCACTTGGTGTGCAAATCTTCAAATCGAATCAAAACTCCTAACTTTCAATCCAAAATGAAGGTAAGTTCCTGGGTCCTTCGAGGGCTTCTCAATCTCACTTCCGTCCTTTCCCTGCAGGTCTTTGTCTGCTTGTTGGCTTCTCTGGCTCTGGCCAATGCTGGCGGTTTGCGAGGTGGAGCCGGTGGCGGGGCTGGTGGCTACCTGCCCGGCGGAGGACGCGGCGGTGGCGGTCGTCCTGCTATCGGAGCCGGCCTGATCTCTCACGTCTCCCAATCGCGGGGCAACACCAAGGTCCACATTGGCGGCGGAGCAGCTGGCGGAGCTGGAGGCTTTGGAGGAGCAGGAGCTGCCTATGGCGCTGGAGCTGGAGCAGGCTACGGTGGCGGTGCTGCCTCTTACGGAGGTGGTGGCGCTTCTTATGGAGGTGGAGCTGCCTCCTACGGCGGCGGTGCTGGTGGCGCCTATGGCGGTGGTCGCGGCGGCGGTGCTGGCGGCTGGCAGGGATCTGGAGCCGGCGGACGTGGAGCCGGAGCTGGTGGCTGGCAAGGAGGCGCCGGAGGAGCTGGCGCTGGCAATGCCTGGGGAAACCCCGCCGAGTTCGACTACACTGTTAACCACGCCTCTAGCGCTGGAGGAGCTGGCGGAGCCTATGGAGGAGCTGGAGGTGCCTTTGGAGGGACTGGCGGTGCTCCCTACCTGGGTGGTGGAGCCGGTGCTGGTGGCTCCCGAGGTGGTGCTGGCTGGTGGAACGATTAGGTCCCCAGACTTTAACAAAATTTGAAACCGTGATCGAAAAATAAAATTTAAACCTAACCAGAAAACAAGTTTGTTGCCTAAGTCTTTCGATTTTCAAGAAAATAAGCCATTAAAAAAGCTTCTTTTCTCAAGCGGTACTGTATAGAGGTTGTAAAATTGGCTAGGATATTTGTTTCAAAAAGTTATATAATAAAAAGAAAGGAAAGCTAACTTCGGGCGGAGACTAAGTGATGTACCCTTGTGGTAAGGATTGAATTTTTGTGATGAGATCCCAAGAAAAAGGGGTTTTTCCCTAAAGGGTCCACAGTGATGGCCATATCTTCTCTAATTCTGATCCGATTCTCAAGCGGAGTACCTTAAACGATTTCGAGATCGATTTGCCACATTTCTGCATCAAAATCCTGAGACAAAATTTTTTTTAGATTTTTGGTCCATTTTTCGTGATCCAGGATCCCTTAAAAATGGGGTTTTCCCCTAAAGGGCCCACAGTGATGGCAATATCTTCCCCAATTCTGATCCGATTCTCATGCGGAGTACCTTAAACGATTTCTAGATCAATTTGCCGCATTTCTGCATCAAAAACCAGAGATAGAATATTTTTTAGATTTTTTGTCCATTTATTTTATGGGGTCCCTTGAAAATGGGGTTTTTCCCTATGGGGTCCACAGTGATGGTTTTAGCTCTTCTTCTTGTTTATGTACTTTAGTTTTTTAATATTATCTCAATAATAATATTCATAATTTACTTATAATATAAAGTTTTAAATCGTAAAAGCAATGTGCCCTAACCGACTTTAACTCCCATATAGCTGAAACACATTCCCACATCATATCGAGCTTGGAGCTTTTAAAACCAGCTTTTCAACCACACCGCTAGATGTCGCTTGAGCCAAGTTCGTGGCTTGAGTCTTTTGTTTTGTGGGCAGCCGAACGAAAACCAGTTTACAACTTAACGCACTGCCCTTGCGATTGGACTGGCGAAGTTCAAGGTCACTGCAGGCGCCAAAATGGAAAGTTAACAGAATTTTCCCTAAAATTTTGCAAGAAAAATGGCAGGTAATATATCTTTAAAATAAAGTTTAGACTAAAATCGAATCATAAATATAAAGTAATAGCTATTGGGCTGATTATTTCATCAAAAATCATTCCGATTTTAAAGTTTGTTTGTATTTATTTTGACTTTGGTCTTTGTTTGGTTTTACTTCCGTTGATTTTCTTTGTCTGCCTTTGTCTTTGGACATTTCTTATTCGGTTTTTGGATAATTATGAAGTTGTGGCTCCAAAGCGTCTCGTCGTTTGGCTTGTTGAGTTTTTTGGGTTTTCGGTTTTTGGTTTTTGGTTTCCAGGGACACCGACACCGATTTAATGAAACTACGATTCGCGTGTTTGTTTGTAAACAAAACTGAGAATCTCTTTTATTTACACACTGGACACCGGACGTCCAAGATCAAACACCGGAGCCAGAGCGCCGGACAAATTATGCCTGGGTTAACCCGTTTTTTTTCCTTCTCAATGTTCGATTTTCGCATTTTGTTTAAGGCTTTGGGGCTGAAAACTCGTTTTCCTTTGTCGGTGTTTGACAAATACTCGATGCACATTTCGGAGATTAGCGTTTGAATTTTATTTGAATTTAATTTTTGTCAATGAAACGCCAAATAGGCGTAAAAATCTAACAACAAGTGGCAGGGGGTTTATAATTAACAAGCCCAAGTACATACTTCCTCTTCTGCTTTAGGGTTCTCACGATTCCTGAAGCGATTCCGGGTGATTGATGGAAATGCAATCGATTAACGTGCAATTAACTATCGATGTTTTACGACCTTTAATGCTCCGTTGTATTTTATACGAGCTGGCTGCCATCCATTAGGCATCCATCCGCCGGTGAACGGAATGATATGCACGGCTCTTACAGAACACTGTAATGTGGTTATTTATGTGGCATATGTACCCATCTGCGGCGACTGCCTGGCTAATTTTCTATGCAAGCTTGCAAATTTTCATTTTCAAGCACCCGGCGTATGAGTTATCATTACATGGCGGATTGTGGATTGCGGATTACGGTCTACGGATTACGGATTACAGACTGCAAGCTAATTTATGAGTGTCATCAATTTCAGAGCTAAAGCGACTCCACTCACTTTCTGGCATCATCTGTTTGGGTACTTGCACTCGGGTACCGGTAATTTCCTTTGGGTACCTATCATACCTAGCTCTTGCAATTAAATATGTTAATTTGGTTTTGTGTTTTTTAATGGAAGCCTTCAGAGAAGCTCGAGGGCGCTGCGATGGGAAATAGATGTGTGCTTTTAAGCCGAGTTATTACAGCAGTAAGGTGGTAATGCCATTGTAATGCCGCCACACATCTTGGCCGAAACAATGAGCTGGACATTGAGACACTGGCCCATAATGAGCCAAGCCACTATTCTAAATTAATTAACGTATTGTTGGTTACAACATTTAGGAAACTTCGTTTAAAGACAAAGGCTCTTGATTGCTCAAGACTGCTTCCTAGATCAGAGTAGATGAACTAATCAGGAAATCATGATCGACAGAGAAGATCTCTCTCGAGTGGCAATCTTGCAGAATCGATTGGAGAACTCAATCTCCGACCCGTTTGCCACTCTGTCGATTGATAAATCTGTCGTTCTGTCATCGCATCGGTAGCTTACAGCTTTGAATAGTGACCGATCCATAATCGAATAATGCGATTATGAATATTCATGGCGGCGTGCGGAGGAGCGAGTATGTAAATGCCAAACACTCAAGCCTACTCGGACTCCAAGCCAGAAAAGCGATACAGTCTTAGTCTTTGGTTTTTTGCATAAATTTTCGATATTTCGCGGGCATGTGCTCGGGGCGTACGTTGAACCCAAGTGTATACACTTTGTCCATTTAGTGGGAGAGATTAGTGTTTATTTTTCGGGTTAGTACAGCCAAATAGAGGACGGGGGCCCTGTAGAGGTTCCCCAGCCAGCCCATTCCCAGGCCCGTTCGGCGAGCGACTATGCAAATATATGCCTCAGAAATAGAACCCATCCGACCCGACCGGTTCTAAGTTTTTTTTTCTGTAGCGATGATGTAGTTAGTGGGTCCCCTGGTGTTTGTTCTTCGAGATAGGCCTCTTCCTGCTTCAGTTTCGGAGTTTTCTTTCGCAAACCTTGGCGGCCGTCTTGGGCTTTCGGGCCATTAATCAGTTCGACACTTTGGGCTGCTGCTGGTTTGGTTTTTAAAACTCGGATCGGAGAACAAAAACTTTAAAAATATAAATGCAAAACGGAGTCTGTCTCCGGTGACCAACTGACAAAACAGTGATACGAATGTTGATTGTCGAGCCAAAGTGATTAAATGCCGATAATTTGTTTGACTTTCGGCTAGAGGGACAGTGGGGCGATTGATTCGATTTTTACGCGGAATTTTATAAATTAATTAAGTAATATTTTAAGGGGACTACCGAATCTGATCTGCCAGGGGCTTTTGTAGGGGACTATCATTGGAAGAACATGCAATGGTTAAAGCTTAGGGTTAGGGTCATATCATTCTTCAAACTGTACTCTATAGATCTGGTCTTTGAAAGTATATTTCTTTATCCTACAGACCTGAAATATAGCACTCTAATTACCCAAATTGAAGATCCCATAAAGATTATACCCATTAGTCCTATGTACTTTGTCCTTTGACAAACATTTTAAGATCATATCATAGATCATTATTACTATCTAGTTGATGTCTCTACATATTCTTGTCAATGAAACTCTATTTCTTAAAGATAACCCCCCGCAATATCACACTCCAATTTCCCAATTTTTAAATTTCAGTACTTGTGTACTTTTCCCATTTTCTGACATAATTTCGAAACTCGCCTTGAGGTGGCTTAGCACCTCCGGAATCCCCCCGAGAGCCCCCCACCCTCAGAGACCACCGGAACCCCCGACCCACTGTGCAGAGCAGCCGCGCATGCGCATGCCGAGATTAGCATATGTGGACAAACAAAAGAACGAGCATAGTCGAATGTGGGTTATTATGAAACGGCCAAGAGGCACGGCGATGGCTAAGAGCTGGCCGAAAGATCGCTGTTGAGAGCCGGCTCTTCTGCCCATCAATGGCTTCTAATTGGGCGAATCGATAAACGATCGACCGATCACCCATTTTCGGGTATAAAGGTGCGTGTCTCCGCCATAGTTGCTATTAGTTTTGATCGGCCGTTTGGAACTTCCGTCCAGCACTTCCCTCTACAAGCACAATGAAGCCCTTTGCCTGCATCCTGGTGATCCTTGCCTCCATCCTGGCCGTTGGCCACGCCTCTCTGGGCGGTCTGCTCGGAGGCGGTGGTGGCGGCGGCGGTGGCGGTGCCGGCGGAATTGGCCAGCTTCTCCAGAGCAAGTTGGGCGGTCTGGGAGGCCTTGGCGGCGGCTTGGGCGGAGGACTCGGCGGTCTTAGCGGCGGTCTCGGCGGCAAGCTCGGAGGAGGTGGCGGCGGCGGCGGTGGCTACTCCGGTGGCCAGTCTGGCGGATGGTCCAACGGCGGAGGATACTCCGGCGGCGGTGGATACTCCGGTGGCGGTGGATACTCCGGTGGCGGTGGATACGCTGCCCCAGCTCCTGCCAGGCCCGTGGAGAAGGTGGTCATCGTCAAGGTCATCAACGAGGGCTACTCCGGTGGCTACTCTGGCGGCCAGTCCGGTGGATACTCCGGCGGCTACTCTGGTGGATACTCTGGTGCCCAGTCCGGTGGTTACTCCGGCGGCTACTCTGGCGCCCAGTCCGGAGGCTGGAACAAGGGCTGGTAAGAGGCTACCACCCACCCCCCACCTACCCCCTACACTTAAAGAAATAGTTCAAAACTGCCAGCCAAAAGCTTGGGCTTCCCAGCGGAGGGAAGAAAACAAAAAAAAAAAACAGAAATCCCGAATTTGAAGCTCCACTAGCTTAAGTTTTTTTTTTATATTTAGACTTATTTTTGTTTTTTTGTTTAGAATTTATAAAATATACGCGAATAGAATTTCCATTTTTAATTGAGAGACTCTTTTGAATTGGATGCTAGACCGGTTGGGCATTGGGAGCCACGCTTCCGGCTAAATCTTCTGCGGTGCTGGGAGCTATTATTAGACTTCTCTGGCTGACCCATCGGAGTGGGCCAAGTGGAGGTCACTGCGGTGCCACTTTTGGCCTGGTAATGGGACAGGTAATGAGACAGGTACTTAGCTCAGAGCCGGACAATGGAGACGCGGAGACCGAGCCACAAAAACTGTGCCCCGAGTTGTGCAACTCGAGTGCATTTTCAATTCGGGCTTTGGGCTTGGGTTTGGGCTGTCCATCAACGGCCCAGCAATTGCCCGGATTTGTGTGCCGCCCAAGAATTAAGGGTGACCGCAATGCAAGAAACGTGCCAAAGCCAAAAGGTTCAAGTGGCTCGGATCTAGAATCGATTGCCATTAACATTTTGGCCCAAAATCTGCCTCCAAATTGAAACAATCCGATCTCGTGGCTATGAAAATTCTCTGTCATGACTGTCCAGATTGGATCCGAGAGATCCATAAAAATGAATCTTATCTTGAAGGCAGTTGAACTCGATTTTCGCAAGAGCATTTTTTGAAAATCTACAACAATAGTCTTCTCGGGCCATTCTTCTGAGTCAGACGAGGTGTCTCCGACTGTGAGATGTCGGCTCATAAGCTGCACCTCTCTGACTGATGGATTGATTGGCTGATTGATCGGCTCGGAGGCGACCCGATTTGCAGACAGCACGAATTATGTGCAAACCGCAACACGCAGTGCCAGTTGCAGTGGCAAGTGGCAGCAATTCGCCATCTGGAAGCCATTCTAATTAATGGGCGATCATAAAGAACCGATATCCCTGCCACCTCGGGGCGCACTCGATTAAGTACTTTGCGGTCTAGCTGGCTAATGAATCGATGATGCGGTTCACGGTTCGCGGTTCCCGGCATGTGGCATGCCACACTCTCTTGCCAGCATTCTGGGCTATGAGGGCTTTACGCCCGACTTTATGGCTCTCTAAAATGAAACAAAGAAAGAGCGTTACGTAATCCCAGGTAGCAATAGTTTCCGATTTTATGACAGATCTTAAAACCAAAACAAAGTCTCTCACTAAATTAGCTATTCGGATTTCATAATTACTTTTACAAAAACTTAGTTTAGTTTCAAGATTAGTATTAGTTTTTGAAGACTAGTTTTCTTGAAAGGAACTACATTTATTCTAAAGTCTATTTGGAGTCTATATTTATAATATCTCTATCTATCTATCTATCCATATAATCTATAGCTAAAGCTCCAAGACTCTCAGTCTTCTTTTAGTTTCTTAAGAAACACCCTTAATATTTATCTTAAACCCTATTTCTAGTCTTATTTTAAGACCTGATGCCCAGTGTTCTTGAAACCTGTAGCTCAGTGTAATTCAGAGGCAGGTGCTCTGGCTTTGAGCCTTTTTCATAATTTTTTTGGGCCACAACGAGCGTACGAAATCGAAAGTTAAAGTTGGCATAATGAGGCCCCCAGCCAAGAGGTGGCTTCCCAAGCTCAAGCTCCACCCCCAGCTACCCAGCCACCCAGCCACCCAGCCACCCAGTCCCCTCTTGGCCATTGTAAGCGGTCGGCTGGTCGGCCGTTTTGGCAATTACATTTGATTATACGAGCCGGTGGCAGTCGCCGCAGCCGACGGAGCTAGAATCTCTGGGGTATCTGCCGCTTTTCAGGTGGAATCTGTTGGGTATAAAAGGCCGAGGCGGTCTGCAGTCGGAAAACAGTGAGTGCACGGCAGCTGCGGAGATGCAATCGACTACTCGGACTCGGATCGCCCTTCTAGCGGTGCTGCTGGGCGTGATCATGGCCCAGGCGAAGCCCCATGGCTGGGGTGGCAGCGGCGGAGGCGGCAGCAAGGTCATCATTAGTGCCTGGCCCTCCAGCGGTGGCTGGTCCTCCGGTGGAAGCGGTGGCGGAGGAGGCTGGAAGAGTGGAGGCGGCGGAGGAGGAGGCTGGTCATCAGGCGGCGGCGGAGGAGGCGGCTGGCCATCAGGAGGTGGCGGTGGAGGAGGCTGGAAGAGTGGAGGCGGCAGCGGCGGAAGCGGCTGGTCCTTGGGAGGCTCCTCTGGCTGGTCCCTGGGTGGTGGATCCTCCGGCTGGCCCAGTTCTGGCAGCTCCGGATGGAAGTCGGGTGGATCCTCCAGCTTGTCCAGCGCCCTGTCGAGTCTCTCCGGCTGGAAGTCCCAGGCCCTGTCCAGTCTGAGCGGCGGCGGCGGAGGCTGGAAGAGTGGAGGTGGCGGAGGAGGCTGGAAGAGTGGAGGCGGCAGCAGTGGCTGGTCTTCGGGCGGTGGCTCTTCGGCCTCCGTCTGGCCCGCCAAGATCAGCAGTGGCTGGTCCTCCGGCGGCGGCGGTGGAAGCGGCTGGAAAAGTGGTGGTGGTGGCGGCTGGTCCTCTGGCGGCGGCAGCTCCGGCTGGAGCTGGTAAGGAACCCCCATCCGAAATACTCACTGGAGATCCACTGGCAACGAGGCGACACAAGACACTGATCAATTGTACATAACATTTCTCTGCCCTAATCTTAACAATCCTGTGTATTTTTTTTTTTGCTTGTTTTAAAACCCAAACGTGTGAATAAATTTTTACGAGAATGTAATTTTTAATAAGTTTTATGTTTTCTGGTATATCTGGTATAAGATAATGTGGAATAGTGTTGCATAAAAGTGCATAGTCTTTATTGAAGACTATCTAGAGACTAAACTAAATACTATACTATATAACCATACTATAGACTTTATACTACATACTATATGTATCCTGTAGACTTAATGGGGAAAAAGGTTTAAATAGAAGAATATTTCAAAAGAAGAGAAGACTTCTTAGAAGAATTTAAAAACAAAGAACTTGTTGATCTATAATCTAAAAAGTTACTTAAATCTCCTATGATCTATACCAGAAGCTGGATCTATATACATACATATTACATATATTATGAACTTTGTATATCAATGTATGCTATATATGCTCTTTTGAGAATAGTATAGAACATTATAGAACAGTATAGAATAGAATCTACTTGTGTGTATTCTAGGTATACTATGTATTTATGTATACTATTCTCTGCCCTAATATATACTATTCTTCACTATATTCTTCACTAGTCTTTACTAGTCTATACTATTCTATACTATCCCATATTGTCTGTTTTCCATCCGAATCAGAATATTAGAAATACTATTAGTTAGTGGTCTGTAAAATATACTCATTCCAAGTAAGCTACATGAAAATATCTTAAAAGTATCTTCAAAGATTGTCAAAGAAAACCATGGACACTTTTAAAGAATTTAGTTAAAAAAGGGTGAATGTAACATCTTCATTTATTTCTATTATTTCTATTTATTTTTCTTCAAAATATTAATGCTTCTTTCATAAAGAATATATCTAGAAAAATACAATAAGTGTTTCTCCCACCATTCCTCCTAAGTAACAAAAATATAGCTAAAGATAAGTACCTTTAACCCCAATCACAAACCATCGTTTCGTAACCTTCCATAAAAAACACTCATTGCTTTAAAAATGCGTATAATTGTTTTATTAATTAAAAAAAAAATAAGTTTAGGTTTAGAAAACAGGCAGAAATAGAAAGGCATTCAATTTTGTGGGAATTGAAAAAAGGAATCGGGATTCGGGATCTCTCCGGGGGATGTCCACTATCTCTATGCCATGGAACACATGTCAGCAGCAGCCGGAGGACTGGCTGCCCTTGGTAAGGATTTGGGTTGGAGCTGGTGGACTGGATTTACCATCCTCCACCGCCACCGCCTCCGTACTTGCCACCACCACCACCGCCGCCATGGTGGCCACCACCGCCTCCACCACCACCGTGGTGTCCGCCTCCCTGGTTGCCGCCTCCGTAGCCACCGCCTCCGGATCCGCTGCCTCCATAGCCTCCCTGGCCGCCGCCTCCTTTGCCGAACCCGCCGCCACCGTAGCCTCCTTGGCCGCCGCCTCCTCCACCGCCGTGCTTGCCGCCGCCGCCGCCAGAGTTACCACCTTGCCAGGAGACGGAGCTGCCGCGGTTTCCGGCCAGGGACTTGCTGCCACCACCGCCGCTGCCTCCATAGCCTCCTTGACCACCACCGCCGCCTCCGTAGCCTCCTTGTCCGCCGCCACCGCCTCCGTGCTTGCCACCACCACCGCCGCCTCCGTAGCCTCCTTGTCCGCCGCCACCGCCTCCATGCTTGCCGCCACCGCCGCCGCCGCCATAGCTTCCCTGGCCACCTCCGCCGCCTCCATGCTTGCCACCGCCACCGCCGCCTCCGTAGCCGCCACCTCCTTGGCCGCCGCCGCCTCCGTAGCCTCCCTGGCCGCCGCCTCCGCCTCCTCCATAGCCGCCACCTCCTCCTCCGCCGCCAAGCAGACCGGCAGAGGTCAGGGCGATCATCAGACCGCACACAAAGACCAGGACCAAAGCGTGTCGCATTTCAGATCACAGAGAACACACACAGAAAAAAAAAGAGTAATCCTTGTGGTAAACCGCTGAGGCAGTGCAACTGCAACTGATGTTCTAACCCAGAACTTGGCTCCGTTTTTATAGCCATTGCTGCGGAACTAATCGCTTCCATTTTCAGTTGAGTCACCACCATCCGATCCGATCCGATGCGATCCAATCCCTCGGAGCTCCCAAAGGAAGGTTGAGAACGCGGCACAATGCACTTTAAGTCTCGCTTAAAAAATTAAAAAAAAACGCGCCTCAAGTATGTCTGAGCTGGGAACATCGCGCATACGCCACCGGTTCGCCGATCCACCAACAAAATATATTAATAATAAAATCTAAACTCAAAGCCAAATCCGAACCGAAGCACTTTTAAAGTTGCTGAGCCATGGCTGGATCATTAATTGCTGGCAGTTTTGCTGCCAAGTGTCTTCCATATTCTATGCTCTGAAGTTTTTCTTAATTATTTTTACTATTTTATGGCATAAGTGGCATATAAGGAGGGTATGCTATGGTAGTGGTAAGAAAAGTGCAAGAGAACACAGTTTCTTTTGGTAGAAAATCTGTTTGAAATATAAGAACCTAGATAGGTTACGAAAGTTCAGTTGCTCTCTACCTCCACAAACAAAAAGGCTCTCAAACATAGATGAAGGGCTTATAGAAGGCCTTTAAGATGGGTCTTAGGGTTAGAAAAGTATGGAAGTTTGTCATAATAGAACCCAGAGAGGTTACGAAAATCATGTAGATTTCGTAAATTGTAACCAAATGGCTGCCAATGCTTCAAAAACTAGGGAAAAGGCTTATTAGGGATCACTTGAGAGGTGTACTTAGCGGTAGAAGAATATACTATATGGTATAGATTGTTGGGTGGAAAAGTTCCAGGGACGAAAGTTTCAGTAGTTCTTTATAAATAAAACAGACACCTTGTCCAACCACCTCCAGACACCTTCAAGACACGCTTGAAAAATGGAAGGAAAGTCCTTTAGAAAGTTCTACATAGGGTTAGAAAAGTATGGATAGTAAGAACCAGACTCCTGATCAGAAAACTTCAATAGGTTACGAAACTTCCCATAGTTCTCCAAGTTAGTTCAAGACAGAGGCATTGCCAAGACTTAATTCAAAGTAAAAACCTACATGAAAACCCGCAATAGTCGGCTTAAATAAACAATTTTCTCGCACTTTATTTTCAAATCATATTTATGCTCGTTTTCGGTTTGGTTGTAAATGCCGTGTTTGTGGTAATTAATCTTCATTTGCACAGCCACAGCAACAAATTGGTGGTGGATGCAAATGCAAATGTAAACACAAGTGTGTGAGCAACAATCAGACACTAGTTCAATGTCAATTGACTCGCAAACACAACTCGCAGTGCGCTGCCTGCACTTGAGCATCATTTGAGCCATAAATTTCATCCAAGTATCTAATGGATGTGTGGGTCTTTGGGTGGCAGTGGCCTGCGGATGCCACAAAAAGTATCTCTCATTTTAGCCAGAGAGCGGAGCTGTAAGCGCGAACCACTGTGCAGCGCATCTTCCACCTTGGCCGGTGGAGCAGCGACTTGGCTGTTCCACAATCATTTAGCCAAGCGAATGAAAAATGCATAAAAATTTAATAATAATTGCCACGGACCAGGCCCCGAGACTCCCCACAGACCAGGGTTTAGAATGTTAATTGCTTGAAGATCCATAATTCAGAGTTCCATTGCATATTTATGCGATTTTCAGTCGATTTCAGATCAAAAGATCATAAAAATGTTAAAACTAGTCTGAGACATGAAGGCAGATTGCAGTTCTGTGATTTATGCATTTTATTTCAATTTAAAAAAAAAAAAAAAAGGAGTATTTATGTTAAGTATTTATGTTACAATTCCAGGGGAGGGTGGGCGGTGTTGTGCGAACCAGAGGGGGCAGGGTGGCCAGAGGTGGGCGAGGGAGAAGTGTCCTTTCGGGAGGAGTAGTCCTTTCACCACCAGCCGCTGTTGGAGCCCGAACTGCCCCAGCCGTTGTTCCAGCCAGAATTGCCGCTGCTCCAGCCGGAGTTGCCGCCCCATCCACCAGAGCTGCCGCCCCAGCCGCCGGAATTGCCACCCCAGACTCCGGAGCTACCTCCCCATCCTCCAGAGCTGCCGCCCCATCCACCTGAGTTACCGCCCCATCCTCCAGAGTTGCCCCAGCCGCCGCCGCCGCCGCCTCCTATCTTGATAACCTTGATGACCTGCGGCTGGGAGGAGGACCATCCGCTGTTCCAGCCACTGCTGCTGCTGCCGCCCCAAGGATTGGAGGATCCCCATCCAGAGGATCGCACCACGCCGGCGGAGACGCAGGCCACCAGAGCGGAGATGACAATGAGCAGCTTCATCCTGTTGAGTCCTTTGCTGGGTTTTGGATATTTTAGTGTCGATTTTGGTTTACCTCTCGAAGTGTCGCACTCGAATGGTGTGGCCAGTGGAGTGCCAGTCGCTATTTATCGCAAAAAGTTACACCAAAAACTGCGTGGCCCAGACTCGGTCTCGGATTAGTCCGCTTCCACTTCCCATAGACTGGGACTGGGCCGGGCCGGGCCGGGCTAAGCCTCGCTTTGCTCAATCATAGCTTGGGCCGGCTCAGTGCAATGGCAAGTGGCGTCAAGACGAGAATCCACAAAATAAATCTCACTCGAGAGGCGGGTGGCTGGCTATCTGGCTGGCTGGGACCCTGGGTAATTGCAGTTTATTAAACCACTTTGAGCGTCCGATTCTTGACCAGGGTCAACTGCTTTTGAAGCCAAAGTACAAGAAGGCAGAAGCCACCAAGCCACAAAGCCACAGAGTCACATAGCCAAGTGGGTAGCCAACAAATCAACAAATCAGCCGACCATGTGCGAGCCGGGTTGCAAAATTCGTGCATAACTCACACGCTTGATGGATCATTTCCTCGCCGAAACTGCAGCAGAAGTGCACTGAGAGAAAATCTATGGACTAGCAATCATACTATTGCTAGTACTATAATCATACTATAGTACTAACCATGCTATACCCTCCTCAAGACTTCCTCAGAACTCTATAGTATCCAAACTTTTCATAAAGATTTTCTTCAAGTGTAAGCTTGAAGAGGGGGCGGGGTCGCATGTATGACTACACTGTGCGAAGATCTGGCGTCGGGTGAGTCATTTGTCAAGCTGGCAGCTTAAGCCCCAAACGGAGACACTTGCAGATGCAGATACAGAGACACATAAACACGCTCAGATGCAGATGCGGATGCCAGGTGAAGGGGTTACCTTTCAGGTTGTCTCTGTGTGGCACAGTGGATGCCCTGGCATTTCCTGATCCCGAAGGACACAATACAGCTGGACAGCTGGGTTTCCCCCCCTCAAAAATAATAATTTTAAAAGCGTTTTAGAGCCAGAATCGAGATCGGCTTCTCAAGGCGGGCCATCTAGGACGTCTAGGCCATAAAAAGTGACGCGACGAGCAACATTCACTTTGCTCCCGACCTCACTGATGACACTCGGACTCGGGCCAGAGTTCCGCCACTCACTGGACCCACTGTGCCCACTGTGCCCGGGCGCCACTAAAATCCAACAAATTTGTAAACAAAAACTTGAGTCAACAGTCATCTCTGAGCTTGTTGCAATTACCTGGCGAATGGCGACACTGCGACCTCTTTTCCACAAGTTATTTATTCTTTGGTTTAGTGTCTTTGGGGGGGTATTATGGGTTAACCATTATGGATCTTGGGGGTTAACCATCGAACAGATTATAGACGAGGGAGTGAAGCACTGATTGTTTAAAGAAACTGGCTTGTCTAGTTCCAAATTATGATATTTTTTATCATTGCATTCCCAACTCTAGATTCCAGACTATCAGGTAGGGTATCCCCTGTTCGATCAGCTCCCAAAGACGGTATTAAACACAAAATTAATTGAATTGTCAACGCGCTTAGAAGGCAAAAATAGTATATTGCATATCGACCGCAATCGGGTCAAAACGAACCAGGTAGCTCTGGTAAGTGGTAAGTAGTGTGTGGTAATGGTACGTGGTAGGTGGTAGGTGGTAGTAGAATTCAACGACTAACTTTAGCCTAGTTGGTAATAAGATTATAAGTAGCTGGAGAGGATCTGCGAGGGAACCAGGACTTCTCTTCAGAACCAGGACTTTCTCGTGGGGAAGATTCGGCTCAAGGGATTTGTCGTGCTGGAGGGGCTTTGCAGGGTCGAGGTCTTTGCCCGGGTGGAGGTCGAGGGGTTTGCCGTGGAGGTGGTGTACGGACAGATTCCGCAGTTCTCCAGGTGCACGGTGCGAACGATGGAGGCATGGATGCCGTACGGCTCAGTGGGGTTCACCTCCAAGAAGTAGCTGCCCTTGGTGGTCAGCGGAACGGCGTAGCCCATGGGTATGCTGTCGCCCGGGCAGCGGAACTCCCGGAGCCGGGTCAGGGAGCTGCAGCGGGTGGCCAAGAAGTTGCGCTCGTTGCCAGGGAAGACGGTCTCCGCGTAGTACTCCCAGGACCTGGCGTGGGCGCACACCACGGAATAGCAGCCGACGGGCAAGGGATCCAACCCGCTGGGGTAGAAGTCGGCGTCGCCCATGGGGTCTCGCTTGCCCAGCACTCCCGAGTTGCTGTGGATCACATCGACGAAGCCGGCATCTCCGCGCATCAGGCCCGACAGGACCTCGCCCTCGTTGAAGCATGGCTTGGCCGGATCCAGTCCCGTTATCCTGGGAATCACTGAGCCCGTCAGTTTCGTCAAGTGCCTGCCCGCAGCGCCCACAATGTGGGCTCCCAGGCTGTGGCCGATCAGATGGATGTTCTCCACGGGTATCGTGTCCAACAGCTTCACCAGCCCGAGGGCCATGTTCTCGCCGATCTCCTCCGTGTTGAAGGCGCTCCAGGTGTACAGAGTGTCCACGAAACGGGCAGCATCCACAGCCTCAAGGGGTTGAAAGAAGCTCAGTTATTGGAAGGGTTAAGTCAAGTTCAGAGAAGCAATTCCGAGATTAGAAAATAATCGCGGAAGAGCCTTATCTCCGATCCGTACAATCTACGGATTAGACGCTCGCTGGCACTCACCAAAAAGTTAACGTCGCCCCGGCAGTTGTAGGCCTTGGACAAGACCTCTATGGTGTCCGTACCATTGACCGTGGTGGTCCATCCCGTGGCGAGGATAACCACCTTCTTCTTGGGATCGAAGTCCGGGTTGCGCAACAGGGCGCTCGGGTCAGTCAGCGGGAAGCTGACCTTGCTGCAGGTGGTCCGCAGTTGAAAGTTCATCAGTTTGATGTCCGGCGTGAACTTGGACTTGATCTTGTTGTTGGCCAGCGCCTGGGAGCCTTTAGGGTGATTTGGGTCATCATTTGGAACCAATTTCCAACCATTTAAGCTACTCACATATGTAGCTCAGGGAGCTGGAGACGAATTCGAAGGGATAGCCGGCTAGCAGCTGCTTGCTGCCGTCGAGGAGTCCTTGGGGCGTGGGCAGCAGACTGGGATCCACTATACTGGAACCCACTGATCCCACAGAGCTGATAACGTCCGGCAGCGTCCACTCGATGGCCTCCATCGGCCGGAAGAGCTGCACCAGCATCAGCAGCAGGAGCATGGTCAAAGGCAGCCGTTTACGGCCCGTAATCTTGCCAAAGTCACCCATCCTGGACGAGGTCCGAACGCAAACTGAGTGCCGGAAGCCGGGTGGCAATGTTATTTATACGGCTTCCCGAGGGCGGGCGTCTCCGACGGGGCTGAGGGGAATCCGATCGACTTGTATATAATTTCCATTCGACGCCGGCCAACAATATCGATGTGTGTGCCCCGATCAGATAAGGTGCACTTGTCACCTAAATTAGTTTCCATTTGCGGCACTCATCGGCGCTTCGAACAGAACAGCGTAGTGTATAATGCCCATATATATATTATATAAAGTCTATTATACGGGAGAGGCTGTACAGACTCACGGGCCGAGCTAGCTGCACTCGCATATCCCGCCCTCATCTGCATATATTCCCGGTTTTCGAGCCGAGCTGATAATCCCCATCGGCCGACCGCCCAGCCCAGCTGCTACTCTTCTGCCCGGGTTAGCCGAAATCTATGCTGGATTTGGTGATCTTGGGATTTCCCCATTTTGCTGATACCCGGGGTCAGTTTCTGAGGCACTGATTAGGCGGCTTAGGCCTTCGGTTTCGGTTTCAGTCGGAATTCGTCAGCCAACTTCCGCAGGTAATCATCGAGTGGGCTCTGGGCACAAGATAGAGTATCAGAGAGTGCACTTGGAAAAATACTAATAGGGCGAATTATTTATTAGATGTCTATATCTTAAAGATCTTCAAGATCTCATAGAACTCCCGCTCCATTCTCTCAGTGCAGACCTAGACTCACGTATTGAACATCAAAACCCCCCCCCTGCGATTCGGTTACGACATCAGAGTCATATTAATGCGAGCACATCGCCCATTTCCCTCCCATTCCGTATTCCCCGATCTCCGATCCATATTCCCAGGCCCATTGTTATTCCTCCGCCGTCTCGTGGACAAAGATTTGGAGAACACTGGCCTTACGTCACAGCCCCCTTTTAGAATTATGATTGGGTCTTTATCTCTGAATAATAATCTGAATGATGATTAGCTTATATAACACCTGAGGAGGACTAGTATACTAGGATTCTTAGAGAGGATCATCCCCTGCAATTGCCGCACTCGGCACTCGTGTAGGTGTACGTCTCCGGGTTGGCGTTCTGGCCGTAGGGCTCCGCTCCATTCACGTCCACGTAGAACAGTCCCAAGTGCGACGGATCCGCTCCATAGCCCATCACTGTGTCCGAGCTGTCGCAGAGTATTCCCGTGTAGAGGTCCGCATACTTTCCGCATCGCTTCCCCAGGAAATCATTCCCATTCGTGGGGTACACTGACTCCAGGTAGTACTGCACCGCCCGGGTGTGGGAGCAGGAGAGGGCGTCCAGTCCGAGGCAGCCCCGCTTGAAGGGCAGCCGGCCCTGCACGAAGAAATCCGCGTCCCCGGCCCGCTTCGAGGTGCCCAGCATTCCGGGATTCGTGTGAATGATGTCCACGAAGCGGGCGTCCCCGCTCCTCACCCCTTCCAGGTCGTTGCCGTCGTAGAAGCAGGGATTGGCCGGATCCAGGCCGGTCACCCGCTTCAGGAGCTTACCGCCGGACAGCTGCCGGTAGTTCCGTCCCGTCGAACCGGCTATCTGGGCGCCCAGGCTGTGGCCCACCAGGTGGAACATTTCCAGCACGTACTCCTGGTCGGGCAGGCGGAGCAGGGCCTTGGCCACGTACTCCCCGATGGCCTCCGTGTTCAGGGCCGACCAGGAGTAGAGGGTGTCCAGGAAGTAGGCGGCGTCCAGCACCATGAAGTTGGTGTCCGCGCGGCAGGCGTAGGCCTTCGCCACCGGCCCGGCGCCCGAGTCGTTGATGTTCGTCTTGAAGCCCGTAATGTAGAGGACCGAGGGCCGATCCTGACGGAATCCCGGCGTCGTCCACAAGTCCTCGGCCCGGGTGAGCGGAACACTGACATTCAGGCAGTCGGCGTCCTCGGTGAGGAGGAAGAAGCTCATCCGGGACATGTCCGGAACGACCTTGGACTGCAGCACCCCCAGATCCACGATGGTGCTGCAGATGTAGTTGAAGGTGGAAAAGCCCAGGTCCAGGGGCAATCCGATCACCCACTGCTTAAGGGCGCTCTGCAGGCGATCCAGGAGGGTGTCTACACTGAGAAAGCCCGGCTGCTCGTCCTGGGCCCTGTCGGGGTATTGTTCGCCCCTGCTGATGTTCATAAAGTCCAGGATCGAATCGCTGCGAACCAAGTCGCTTCTCAGTCTATCCGACCGAGCTGCTCCGGTTAGGAGTACCAACACTACTAGAGCCGAGAATGTCATGGTCTGTGGGGGCCACACTGAAAGAAACTTGGTTAACCTTGGCGCTTTTATACTTTCCGGCGCCCCACTTTCAAAGAATGTACATATCTCGGGTTCTCAAGACACGACCCCACGATGTCGTGTGTGCGGAATTTTTTGGCCAAAAAAACACGTGTCCGAGTGGCACGAAGTAAGGCAGTCTTGCCCCATCCAGGTAGATGTTTCACCAGAAATTGGAAATTATAGCGAATGGCGGTGGTAGTGGGCGGTGGGTGGTTCGCGGCAGACATTGGCAATCGCATAATTTTCCAAACGAAAATATTTTGCGTTAGGAAATGCTCTGGTCGGCTAATAACTGGCTTGCTCTGTTACCAATTATCCGACCACCCGACCACCCGGTCTCCGCCTCCACCTCCACCTCCACCTCCATTGGCTCTATAAGAAACTTAAATTAAAAATAATAGCAAGCGTGGCTATTACATTTGAAGCTACACAATAAGAAAGGGGCTTGAAGCTTAAGTTTTAAAATATTGTAAAGTATTACTTTAAGTTTGCGTGTTTCCACCAAAGATTCCCAACAAAATGCAGAAATCTTCCCAAGAGAGTCTAAAGATTTTAAAGATGAGCTTGAAGTTTATTTAAAGGAACTTAATAATAAGACAACCACTTTTATTCCTATCTAATTATATATAGAATTATTCCATTTAATTGTTAATATTTTAATAAAATTAATATTTCTCTTTAGAGCATCTCGTAGTCGTCTAAAAATCGACCAGCTCATGCCTGGTTTTCGGCAATTTATTCGCACATTTCACGTCGCAACTGATGGCAACAAATTTCTACTATGAGCAGAGCTACCAGCCTACCAGCCTACTGTTTTGTTTCACTTTTCCAACTTTTGCAATTATTGGGATACCCAGTAGCCGCCAGATACGAATATGGGTGAGTGTGTCAGCCACGTTTGTGTTTTGCTTTTGGCATTCGAGGAGCGGAATGATCGCTCTACTGACTTATATAGCTTTCTGGCTATGAAATCCGAAATCAATAGAGATTGCTATTTATTAGGGGGCATGGAGAGAGGTGCTTATACAATGGACCTTATGAGCCAGGCCTTATCCAGAAGCCAAATCAGAAGCCTGCACTTTTTAGGTTTCAAGTTCAGACAATGATCTCCTCTCAACAGTCATTCTAGCCACCCGATACTAGCTGTTGATAAACCTAATTAGTTGGGTTGTGCCAAAAAATAAAAATAATGTTTGATGAAAAAAACGAAGAAATACGGAAGCACAGCTTCCGCCTTGGTGGTTGGGGGATCTTTTTTTTTTTAATTTTTTCCCCGATATGATATTGAGTTTTGGAAGGCCCACAGGGATGATAGCCAGACATTGCGTAATGCTATCCACACACTGCACTGAAAGAAAAGAAGCGACAGCGAAAGAGGCAAGTGTTATTACGTATACGCACCGTTGCAACACGGCGGGGTAAGTGCAGCAAATTATCAGCTCCAGTCGAACGATCGTGAACGGATCGCGGATCGTAGGCAGATGTCCGTTGCAACATTTTTTTTTCAGCTGTATTTTCAGCTTTTCAGCTTTTTGTTTTCTGCTTGTGTGGATTTTTGTTGCAAGCAAACAGAAGCGCGAAAAGTGGCTGGAAATTGCAGGAAAATTGACGGGACCGCGAAGCATATAAAATGCCACCGAGTTTCGAGACCAAATTAGTTGACTCCAAACATTTCACCGCGTCGGTTTTCGAATTGGATTTGGATTTGGATATCCCCCCACCACTACTCCTTGAAATCAATAAGACTATAACTAGCCACAATGTTCAGCTATCGCCTGGAAATGATGCTCCTGCTGGGCCAGCTGTGCCTTCTGATCTCTGGCTATCCCCTTGGGGAGGACCTCTCGGCTGGCGTGCACTCCGCCGGACTCCTGGGCAGCTATGCCGGTGGCCTGACAGGCGGCGAGGCCCTCTCCAAGCTGGACTTTAGCTCCGAGGTGTCCTCCCACGAGTTTGGCGGCGTCTCCGACGGTGACCACCTGGGCTCCCTGGGCGACCATCTGAGCGAGGACCATTTCCCGGCCGACTACAGCTCCGGCGGCGGCGGTGAGGAGTACGCCGAGGCCAGCGAGATCCACTCGCACTACGAGGAGCACCACGAGGACGATCACAAGCCGGTGCCCGGCATCGACCACGGCAAGGGCGCCTTCAGCTACAGCACCCTGTACGAGTTCAAGGACCGTGACGAGCACGAGATCCACCAGCTCCAGCACCAGGCCCTGGAGCAGCAGGTGGAACACCAGCAGGCGGAGATCCACCACCTGGAGAGCCACGATCATGACCTGGGCCTGGGTGTGGGCCACCTGGAGGAGCTCTACTAAGACTGTGATTGTCTAGAAAACCAAAAACCAGAACCAGAAAACTATATCCTAGCTACTTTTTTGTTTTTTTTTTTACATAAATATTTAAAAGCCAAAGCTGAGCAATGAGAGCTTGGAAAAATAATAAAAATTATATTTAAAATATTACTTTTTTAAAGGTTTTCTGTATTACCATAAAAAACTAAAAACAAAAACTAAAAATCGATAAAAAAAAAAAACTGAAGAAGAAGGGGCTCTTTCAACGTCCATGAGACTTCAGTGGATAATCGTGCTGGCTGATCTTCAGCTGGGAAAAGTCCACATTATCGCTGATCAGGATACGGGGCTCCTGGATAGCCACTCCCGAAGTAGCCACCGGCAAATGGGAGCCGCCATGGGTGTCCACGTAAAAGTGCGGCCAAGGATTCCCTCCCAGAACCGAGGCGGTAGAGTAGGGATTCGAAAGCAAGAGCAGCGGTGTTGGCTCCGTATCCGGGGCTAGCTGGAGAACTCCAGAGCTGATGTGGATAGCAGGTCCGTACCCTATGAATCAGACTCAAAAGTCACGACTGGAACTTATAGCACATTACTCATACGCACCGTGTGCGGTGGGAACTGTGGGTGTTTCCTTCTCCGCCGGATTACCCGCCGATGTTAGGCCAACAACACTCACCGCCAGAATAAACAATTTCAAACCAAACACTGGCATTTCGTAGCTTCTTTGGAATTCTTTGGAATTCTTCTAGGCTTTTATATTCTCCAGAGAACGGATATTCCAAGTCGTGGCTGAACGCCCATTGGTGACACTTGCATGTCTCGGAGGCCGATATTGATCAGTTGGAGTTATTATAGAGGCTATAGATTAGCGATGATCAGGGGGTCTAGACTCTATATGTTTGCTTGAGACTTTTCAATTGGAAGCCTAAAAGACTCCCTAAGATTTTGTTAAAATATCTCCCCTTCCCACAAAAAATGCTGCTACACAAAACTATAGTTTCTAAGACTAAAGTTCTTGAACCTTGATTAAATTAAGCCTTAACTAAGCGTTGGCTTTAGTGTCAAGACCCCATAGACCCCAACCAGGGCCACCCCATTTCTGTGGCCATCCGGATTCGGCTGGGAGTTAACAGTCGGGTGCTAATTTCCGATAGAATCAATAAAAAACACAATGAACTCGACCGTCAGAGAGCCATGAAACTGAAACACAAACGCCACCATTTCAGATTCTGGCGATTGCATAAGAAGGCCCACCAATTGTCAGCCGGATATCTCCGATAATGGGTTATATAATACCATATAATGTCTATACATTGTGGATTGTATTTGTATATTTACAGATCGCTTCGTTTCGGTTCTACATATCATATTATATAAGTAGGTAGATTTAACAAAAAAAATTACGATTATTCGTTTTTAGAATTAGAACTAGAAAAAAAATAGTTGAGTACGTTTATGGTTACGCTTGAGGTTGTGGTTCTTATTGGTGTTTTTTTTTTTGGTGACTATATTCTGGGATGTTCCGATCTAGCAGCCCACCAGCTTCTCGAAGATGCCGCCGCGCTTCCAGCCGGCACCGAAGCCCAGTCCGGAATTTCCGCCACTGTAGCCTCCGTTGTAGCCGCCGTTGTAGCCGCCGTTGTAACCTCCGTTGTAGCCTCCGTTGTAGCCTCCGTTGTATCCGGTGCTGTAGTCGCCGCTGGAGCTGGCAGAGCTGCTAGCCGAGGCGCTGCTGGAGTAGCCGGTGGCCACTGGAGCTGGGGGTCCGTAGACTGGGGCGGGGGCGTGGTCCTCGTCCACGATCAGCTTGATGGTCTTCACCACCTGCTGGCTCTGGGGGGCGTAGTTGATGGGGGCGGGGGCCACCACGGGAGCGGGTGCGGGGATCACCACGGGGGCGGGGGCAGGCGCGGAGATGACCACGGGGGCGGGGGCGGGGATGGCAACTGGGGCCGGAGCAGGGGCGGCGTAGCGCACCACGGGAGCGGGAGCAGGAGCGGTGTAACGCACCACTGGGGCGGGGGCAGGAGCGGGAGCGCTGTAGCGGACCACGGAAACTGGAGCCGGAGCGGGAGCGGTGTAGGTCACAGCGGGAGCAGGGGCAGGAGCCGAGTAGGTGACGGCAGGAGCGGGAGCGGAGTAGGTGACTGCAGGAGCGGGAGCTGGAGCGGAGTAAGTCACAGCCGGGGCAGGAGCAGAGTAAGTCACAGCAGGAGCTGGAGCGGAGTAGGTCACAGCGGGAGCTGGAGCAGAGTAAGTCACAGCCGGGGCAGGGGCCGAGTAGGTCACGGCAGGAGCAGGAGCTGGAGCGGAGTAAGACACAGCGGGTGCAGAGTATCCAGAGGAGCTGGCGCTGGAAGAGGCACTGGCACTGGACGAGGAGTAGCTGCCGCCGTAGCCGCCGCCATAGCCGGAGGAGCGGTACGAGGGCTGCTCGATCACCTTGATGACCTTGATAACCTGCTCGCCGCCTCCGTAGCCGCCTCCATAACCGCCTCCGTAGCCGCCGCCATAACCGCCGCCGTAGGACGAGGAGGACGAGCTGGAGGAGGAGCTGCCGTAGCCGGAGTTATAGACCGGGCGGCTGGGCTGGCTGTAGTATCCTTGATTGTAGCCGCCGGAGTAGCCGCCGCTGCCGTAGCCGGAGCCGGAGCTGCCGTATCCACCGGAACCGGAGCCGCCGCCCAGGCCGCCGCCAATGGCCTTGAGAAGGGCGAGCTTGGCGCCCAACAGGGCCTCCGATGGGGCCGGGGCCGAGAGGGCCATAAGGGCAACAAAGGCCACGCAAACGTACAGCTTCATGGTGATAATGGCAGTGGTAATGATGCTACCTGAACCCTAAGCGAAACTCAACTGATGTCCCAAATCGAGTCTGGCCACTAATTTATAGCCGGCTTTGGACCCGCATATACCTGTATCTGTATCTGTGCCGCCATCTCCCAAAAGTATCTGTATCTCTATCTGTATCTGTATCTGTATCTGTGTTTGTGTAGTTCTAATCTTTGAGAGCTTTGGTAGCCTACCCCTTGGAGCAGCGGTGTTTGCTTAATTCATAAATAGTTACTTATTTATGAATTAGCCAAGACAAGACTTAAAAAAAAAAACGAAAATAAAATCCAGGCGGGGCTCTCCGCCGGGCTGTCTGTCACCTCAACTACTTAACCATCAAGTGAGATATTTTCTCGCATCTCAACCTCAACAATAAATAAATAAAAAAAAAAAGTATAAGGCAGCATTTTGTGGATACGTTACGGATTCGCAAGAAGCTGGCAAGTCAGGTAATTCCCCAAATCAAAAAAATTTACACTGAAAAAAATCAACAAAAATCAAGGTAGTTTCAGGATCATAGCTAGACTAAGTATTGGAGGATTATAACCATCTAGACCTTGCCAAACTCTGCTTAATGAATACTATATTTTGGCGCAATGGAGCATTTTTCGAAAACTTTTAAGGGGTATAACCATGAAATTTTTGAAAAAATAATTTCCAAAATTTTGGTTTTTGTCTTTTATGCAAATGTATAGATATTTGATAAACAAATCAATAAATGTATGATTTATTGAAATCGGAGGACCCATAATTGTCCATGTTATGGACTTGAAAAAGATCAAATTTATACAAAAAACCTTTTTTGACCTTAGACCTTAAGACTATCCATTATTCGTAACCTCTAACTATCATAACTAAGCTAATTGAGGTCAGATCTACAAAAGTTAGCATTCTAAGCTTCCATTTATCCGCTTTAGAATCAGAGAATAAATACCAAAGTTATGGCTTGGATTATATCAATAAATGACTAGATATAGGTATAATCCCTAAAATCCTTATATATAATCCTATAATCCCAGCTTCTAGCTACCATAACTTGGTTTTTTGTCGCATGGACATAAGCTATACCTTTCTGAGCTCAGCTCTTAAAGTTCTTATATTTTGAATCAAAAACTAGCATTTTACAATTTTTTAAATTTTGTACTATTTTTTCAAAGGAGTACCATCATCAAAATTAAAAACATAAAAATTGTGTCCCCTAGGTTTAAGAGTCAATCAATGGAGATTAAAACACCAATTCTTTTAAGGTATACCACTTTACAATCGGATGTAAAGTGACTGAGATATAGACTAGACTATTACTAGACTTATCCCTAATTTTATACAAAACATTTCTCTCAGTGCAAATGGCTGGCAAATGTGCGTAGCCAACTATGTTGTCATTGTCACTCACTCAGCCACCGAAATCTTGTGCATGGCTACACGTAGTCATAGATTTGAAAAAAAAAAGTCCCAAAACCAAAAGCTAACCCCAAAGACAAAGCCAATCTCAATACAAATATCCGAAGCACGCCCAAATCTTAGCCTCATCTCGGAAACTTGTCCACGTCGTCCACGTCTGACGTGCAGAGTCGTCTATTTGTTTCCAGTTTAGTTCTCGTATTACATATATGTAAATTCTCATACTATTATTGATCTAGACCCGTATGCAAATCAGGTCACCAAAAACCCGCCCAAAACATTTTCCATCTGGCGAAATTCTAACCATTTTATATTCTCCATAAATTCCCCTCAACTGGTTTTTTTTTTGTTGATCTTCGAGCACGAGAGCAACATAAAATCCCTTTTTAGGGAACATGCGTGGAATCTTGACTTTAAGATGCAAATTATTTGCATAAATAATGTTGCTGGGGTTCCAACATATTCTTGAGTTTTGAGACAAGAAATTTAGTTTTTAGAGATGTGTTTTTTAGAACCTTAAAGTATTGTCTTACTTCTATGTATATATAATAGATAGTAATACTAGTCTCTATAGTCTCTATGTATGTTTGGGGTTCCATATTCTTGAGTTTTGAGACAAGAAGCTACGTTTTTAAGGGGATATTTTGGGCCTTTTAAATATTATCTCACTTCCCTGTATATTAATAGATAGTACTACTAGTCTTTAAGTCTGTATATTAATAGATAGTACTACTAGTATCTATAGTCTCTAGTTCCTCCTCTAAATCTGTGTACTTCTCTCTATTGATTGGGGTTCCAACATATTCTTGAGTTTTAAGACAAGAAGCTACGTTTTTAAGGAGATATTTTGGGCCTTTTAAGTATTGTCTCACTGCCATGTATATTAATAACTAGTACTAATAGTCTTTAAAGTCTCTAGTTTTCTAAATCTGTGTACATCTCTCTATTGTTTGGGGTATATTCATTGAGTCCTTGAGTTTTGAGACAAGAAACAACGTTTTTAAGGAGATATTTTGGGTCTTGAAATATTATCTCACTTCCCTGTATATAGATAGTACTACTAGTCTCTATAGTCTATAGTTCCTCCTCTAAAATCTGTGCCTTCTTCTTTCTTTTTTTCAGGCTCTTGGGGGTTTATTGGCTGAACATGGCAAATATTAAATCATAGCCAATTTACACATTTCCATTTACAGACTTTGTAGTTTTTTCCCCCTTTGGAGCACACACATATTTCATTTATTTTTAATCCACTGAGAGAAATTAGAACCTAAAACAGTTAAATAGGAATATAAATTATCAGAAAGACTTTGTTATTTCACTCCTCAACTAAAATATAAATCTCCATGTTTATTTCTTGTTAAGTATCTATTAATCTAGTTCGTTTTTTTTTCAGTGTATGCCTGGTGCTGGTCCAGCTCAACCAATTTGCACCCATCGGGCGTAGAGCATTCTTGGCCATACATTTTTTTTCCAACTTTTTTGGGCTTGGCTCTTGTGACTTTGACTTTGGTTTTGTTTTCTGGCTTTTTTGGTTTTTTTTTGGCTTTCTGGCTTTTGGCACTTGATTACCGTCAGGAGGGGAGCATTGTTGGCCGGCCCTGCAGCCGGGAAACGTGGCTAACCAAATGCGTAAACAGTGGTGGCCACAATCGGCCAACAACTCTCGGTTTCATTTAGGCCCACCACCATCACCACCCGAAGGTCATCCTCCGTCTGGGTTGAATGGGCTCTTTGGGCTCTTTGGGTTGGGTTCACTTCATTTGGATTGGGGGAGGTGGCCACATCTTCAATTGGGTGCGAAATATTTGATATGTTTTGTAACTCGAAACGTGGAATTGCAACAGTCTTGAGGTTGCAGGAAAAAAAAAGAGACTCAGCATAAAAATAACATTTTAGTGACGAATTCGAAGCTTATGAAATATTAATACACTCTTTAAAGCACTATATCTTACAATATCTTCCCTTTTTTTGAAGAATTTAGTTAAAAGATTATCGAATCTTACTTCAGTTTCTATAAGGTTTCAGATCTTTATGGAATCTATTTAATTTTTAGAACCAAACTGGTTCTATAACCTTATTCCCACCATAAATCATCCAACAATCTTTAAATTTTTTCACATTATATCGGTTTTATTTTAGAATTTTTACAAAATGTTTTTAAAAATACAAAAAAAAAAGTGAATTAACCAAAAATATCGTCTTCGTCTCGTTAAGGTTTCCTCAGCACAGTCCCGAAGCCAGTCCCAGGGGCGGTGGTGGAGCTCCGAATCCCAGGCCAAAGCCACCGCCAGCTCCATAGCCGGCTCCGAATCCATAGGAAGCAGGCAGGCTACCATATCCTCCACCAAAGCCGCCTCCGAAGCCTGACAGGCCAACGGCTGGGGCCACCGGAGCGGAGACGGAGGTCACCACGGGAGTGACCACAGCGGAGGTGGAGATGGCCGGAGCAGCACCCACAAAGCCACCGGAATAGCCCCCACCGTAGGATCCATAGCCACCTCCGTATCCAGCGCCGTATCCGCCTCCGTAGCTGCCTCCTCCTGGAACGACAGATACCTTGATGACCTTCACCACGTTCTCGGGGGCGTAGCCGTAGCCCGAGCCGTATCCGTAACCGGTGCCATAGCCGCCGCCGTAGCCAGCGCTGTAGCCAGTGCCGTAACCGCCGTAGCCAGTTCCATAGCCCGCTGCAGTGGCTCCGCCGCCCAGCAGAACATTCAGCTTCCCAAAGGTAGCATCTCCCGGACGAATCACAGCCACCAGGACCACCAATCCCAAAGCCAATCCCACGTGGAGGTGCATCTTGTAATGTGTGTAAGTGTTTGAGGTGATTGCAGGTCGGAGCCGTAAATCCACAGTTCTTGACTTCCCAACGTCGGCTGGTGAACTCTGTTGGCCTATCCAGTGTCTGGGCAATTTATACCCCGCCGGGGGTCAGGTGTCATCAATGGGCAGTGTCTGTTCTTGCCCCGCCAGCTGGAGGAGGCCTGCAAAGTGTGAAATTACTCAATCCAGGGCCGAACAAGTGCTGCCTCCACAATTCCGTGTCAAAGTCAATTTACTCCATTGCGGTTCCCCGGAAGGTTGCCGATCCGTGATTATTTAGAACTTCCCATGACTTGTCGGTATAGGAAAGCTAACTCCGAACGTAGGCGAAGGTTATATACCCTTGCAGGTGGCACAAAAATCTTATATAGTAAGTCGATCCTAATGGAACCCATAGAAACTCCCAACTAGAAGGTTGGAAAGGCAGAAACCTTCAAAAACACAAAAGCTCTGGTATTTCTAATAAATCAGTAAGATAGCAGATCGATTTTTATGAAAATTTAATAATAAATTCATTAAAAATTAATTAATAGAAATAGCGCCCTCCTCCTCGATTCTCATAGATAGCAGCTAAGCAGCGCCAAAAAATATTTTCGACTTTTTTCTTTAATATTCCATAAAGTGATTATATAGTATAGTATAGTCTATAGTATATACCAAGCCGATCCCGACCTTTCCGACTTATATGCTCCATAAATACAAGAATGATGTGTAAATGTCTTAGATTTTAAAAGGCATAGCTGTAAGATAACGACTCGTTTGGGGATCCTGATCCAGAATTCTTGAGATCTACTTGAGATTCCTCCTTCACTATGTGACTCCCTTGAGACAATAACTACTATACCCTCTGCAAGGGTATAGAAATACCCTAAACAGTGTCAGATTTCTGGGCAAATATTTGATCTTCAAGGGAATTAACACTTTCGATTTCTTGCGGGAACTGTGCACAAGTGGTTCCCGGGTTAAGATCCGGGTTAAGGGACTGCATCAACTTTTCTTAGATCACTTATCCCCTCACTCTATATACCTAGCATCAGTCAGGCCAGAATATTTTTGTCATTAATTATATAAGAAACCCCATAAAAAAATTTAAAAAAATATATAAAAAGAAAATTAAGAAAATTAAAATAAAAAAATTAAAAGAATTTTGGAAAATAATTGTAGGACCATTCCAGAGTGTGTGCTGAGGAAGTCGGGGTCCTGCTGGGCAGCTCCAGAAGAGCCTCCAGGATGAAGCCACAGCCCAGCGCTTTAAAGAATCTTCGGCCGAAGCTCGGTGGCAGCTGCACTAGTGGTGACGATGACGAGCCGGAAGTTCCCCCCGCTACACCGTCCCTGACGCCCCTGGTGACCTTTATCCGAAGCCGTCTGAGGCCACCCAAGTCGCAGAAGTGCATCTTCTACAGTACGGACTGGGAGAAGTCGGCGCTACTCACCAACTTTCAGAAACGGGGCTGGCTCCAGGTGCCCTCCTTCGGGGGCGAGTGGAACTTTTACTGGGCCTGCACCCAGAACTGTCGGTACATCTTTGGGATCGATCATCCCTATAGGATGCGGTCGGATCAGTAAGTAGAGGGTATTGTACAGAAGAATGGCTCATCTGTAGGAATCTCTCTCTCTCTTTTTGGAGATATAAACATATAGTTTTGGGGAATATAATCATTTGATATCCTCTCTTTAATCTTTATCTTGAATGATATTCATATTTTGTTCATATTTCCCAATTCATTCAAAATATATATCACTTTCGAAAATTCCACTTACCTGCCACTGGAACTGTACTTCCACTGACTTCCAGTCGCATCCATCACTGCTCAAGCTAACGGTACTTTGGCTTCCGATGCAGCGGGGCTTCGTCCTCCATACATTTCATTATAATTCCCAAATTTCACTTTATATATCTATTTAAACATTTAATTATGTTTACAAAAGAGTTAAGAAGTATATTAATTATATTCTTACCCTTTTAAATTAAAGAAGAACAGTATTTTAATTCAAATAAACGCAGGGACGACATTCTAAGACGATTAATATTCCAACTTTCGCGGTTTCTCGACACCCAGAACTATATTTTACGTTTCTAGATTATTTTGCTTACTTTTAAATATTTTAAAAGCTTTTTTTAACAAATTCTTATTGTCAAAAACACCATTTATAAACAAAATACGCGGAAAAATTAATTTTAAGAAGGAGAGCGTCTTAGAGAGAGCGCAGGATCAGCCGGCAAAGAGAGAGAGAGAGTGGCAGAGAGAGCAGGTGCAGAGTAGGGCCACACTAGCAAGTGGAAAACCTAACGCATTTCGCAACACTACTAGGATGTTTGGCGCAAAAAGGAAAATTTTCATATTATTTTATTACATACTTAAATTATGTTTTATTTACAGAATGATAAACCACTTTCCCAACTCCATCGAACTGTCCCGCAAGGATCTGCTCATCAAGAACATCAAGCGCTACCGCAAGGATCTGGAGCGACGCGGTGATCCCCTGGCCCAGACCTTGTCTCCGGACACGAAACTGGGGATCGGAGGAACGCGGTACAAGCACCTGGACATCATACCCCTGACCTTTGTCCTGCCCGCCGACTATCAGCTGTTCGTGGAGGCCTTCCACCAGAGCCCGGTGAGCACCTGGATCGTGAAGCCCTGCAGCAAGTCGCAGGGAGTGGGCATTTACCTGGTCAACAAGCTGTCCAAGCTGAAGAAGTATGCGTACGACGCCAGGACCTTCTATCCGGCCATGAACCGGGACACCTGCGTCATCTCCAAGTACATTGAGAATCCACTCCTGATTGGCGGCAAGAAATTCGATCTGCGGCTATTTGTCCTGGTGACGACCTTCAATCCCTTGAAGGCCTACCTCTACAACGAGGGTTTCTGCCGGTTCTGCACGGAAAAGTACGACCAGGCCGAGATCGACAATGTCTTTATGCACTTGACCAACGTTAGCATCCAGAAAACGAACGTAAGTATAGGAATGTAGTAGTGGGATTCTTAAGTTTGGTCTTCTAATTGGAGGAGGTGGATTTCCAGGAGGAGTACAACGCCATACACGGTGGAAAGTGGCCGCTTCAGAATCTTTGGCTCTACCTGGACAGCTTACGGGGTGAGGGTGTTTCGGATATGTTGTGGCACCGCATCTCGGACACCATCCGCCACTCCCTGGACGCAGTGGCTCCGGTAATGGCCAACGATCGGCACTGCTTCGAGGTCTACGGCTACGACATCATCATCGACAACTGCCTGAAGCCCTGGCTGATCGAGATCAACACCTCGCCCTCGATGCACTCCACCACCACCAACGACAGGAGTCTCAAGTCGCGTCTGATTGACAATGTCCTGGACGTGGTGATGCCCCCGAACAGTCTTCCAGAGTAAGTAATCCCTTAGAGATGACTTTACCTTACCCTTTACTCATTTATCCGTATATATCCCTTAAAGCGAACACTGGGACAAGACCCCCCAGCCGGAGTTTCTGCAAAACTTCACCGTTCTTATGCCCATTCCCCACCAGACGCATCAATCGGCGGGAGCGGGAGCGGGAGCCGCGGTGGCCAATCGAAAGGGCGGGTGCTCGCGGCGCAAGGGGAGATCCTCAAGAAAGAAGAAACACCCGCCCGCCGAGGGGGAGGAGATCTCGGCCAGAAAGGGGAAGGACATGGAGCGATGAATGGAATGTCTCTGGAATGTTGTTTTCTTTTTCGAAATTTTCGTAATTTTTAATTCGCAATTCTCGGTATCGGTATCGCACAAAATTGGACTTATATGGTAGAAGTACACACAAAAAAATTAAAGTATCGTATATATATTCGCTATATATAGAGGCTTAGGCTCTAGCTTTATGTTAAATCGTACAAATGGATGTGTTTCTTTTTTTCTTACGTATTCTAGATAGCGCTGTCTTTCTCGCTTATGAGAGACCTCGATCTTCGTTTCGTTTTTGGACACAAAAAAAAAAAAAGGTTATAGACCTATAGATATATCCTTTAGATGCATATCTCTATAAGTTGGCTCTAAGTTTTACTTTTCGCTTCTGGCAGATCCTCACTGATTGCTTATCATTTTGCACACAAAAATGGCTTCCACTTTAAAGCTAACAGAAAACAAACAAACTACGGTTTTTTATATACAAATTAAAATAGAAAAAAAAATATATATATATATGATCAGGGACATTGAAATATAGTACTTATGATCTTAAAGAGAAGGACAGATCCTTCTTCGATTCGTGTGTTTGATATTCTCGCTACAAGATATGTACAAAAGAAGCTTCCGTGACTCAGACTTGGACCTTAACTCTAATCCAAGCACTTTACAAGAATATATATTAGCGCTTTATTACATGGGGAATACTTTCTGTCGATCCACAATCTATAACTATAATGTTGTGAATAATGGACTTAATCCTAGGATGCGTGTGGTGTGTGGGTGTTCAGGGCGGGTTTGGCCTGTCGATTGCATTTTTCAGCTTTGGTAATTTAGGTCCCATACTCTCCTCTCCACAAGGACTCTAAGAACGAGTTGGTTCTCTCGGAATTATACTTCGCTTTGGTTACAAATATTATAGTTGGCCTTATTGCGGAATGATTATAATAGAATACATATAGTTTGTGACCCAGGATCTCAGGAGTACCCTAAAACCCACCCTGGAAATGTGTGTGTGTGTGTGTACGAGTTTCCATCGCAGATCTCTGATCTCCTCAGCACTCGGTAGCGTAGTAGAAGATCTCCACCTCCTCGCTAACCTCCCTAACCCCGCTGACCTCTCTACCGCCGCTGACCTGCTGCTCCTGCTGCCTCCGGTCCACGAGCACATCCCGAGTGGCGCGCGCATGCGCCAACACCTATAGTCACACCTTGGAGGCGTGCGGCTGGGATCCGGCCGTGCTGCCGTACTGCGACTGCCCGGATGACATCTTCTGGACGGTCTGGTAGGTCGGCTGCTGCTGCTGCTGTTGGAGCTGAAGCTGATGCTGAAGCTGGTGCTGGTGTTGCTGCTGCTGTTGCTGGAGGAGCAGGTGGGGGGAAGGCTACTCTGCTCCCGGATGGTCACCTGGGTGACGAAGGGACCTCGGCTGCGGGCGGAGCTGTTGAGACTGGCCGGCGAGTAGCCGTTCATGGCCGCTGCCTTCCAGTGGGGGACGTTGATGGGCGATGTGGTGGTGGTGTTGCCTCCCGCCCCGGAGGAGTCTCCTCGGCCACTTCCTCCCGAGGTGCTACTGTGCTTGATGCTCCCAACCCGCTGCTGCACCGTCTCGTACTCGTAGTAGCTGCTGATGGGACGCACTCCGTTACCGGCCTGTGCCTGCGGACCTGCCGGTCCAGATCCCGATCCCGTCGAGTGCATGCTGATGTCCTGCGAGCGGGCACTGCGTTGCGAATGGTAATGCTGATGGCGGCGACTGGAGGAGCAAGCACAGAATGTTCAATGAGTAATTTACAAGGTGGATGAGGAAGGGGTGTTCTCTTGTCTACTTGGATGCCGAATTTGGACAAGCCGGGACTCAATCTACACTACTTTTAAGCATATAACCGAAGTAGCCAAAATACTAGAGTAACTACGACATTTAAAGGGTGCAGGTGCAGTGCGTTTCGTTTCCCAAGATTTATCCCAAGGGGGGGTTCCCATACAAAATTCAAAATAAAATATTGTTTTAATCTACGAATCTTTAAGATTCTTTTAAGATTTTTCGATCAAGAATCGGATGAGAATTGACAGAGATATAGGCTTCACTTTGGCCCATATATGGAAAAGCATGTATTTACACCATTTTAAAGGGGGTACCCCCAGAAAAATATCCCAGATTTGAATGCAAATTGATGAAGAATTCATCCACAAATCATTTAAAGCATCTCCCTTGAGAATCGGATGAGAATTGAGAATTTTTGAAAAAGCATGCTTTTTTCCATTTTCTCAAAGGGGTACCCACAGAAAAAAAAGACAAAAATCGATGGGAAAATTGTATCCCAGATTTGGTTGTACATCTACGAATGTTTTAAGATTTTCCGATCAAGAATCGGATAAGTAATGCCAAAGATACGGCTTTCGATTTAGGCCATATATGAAAAAGCATGCTTTTCATCATTTTTCAAGGGGTTTAACCAAAAAAATATACAAAAAATAAATCTAAAGTTAAATGCAAATTGATAAAGAATTAATCTACAAATCTTTTAAAGTATCTCCCTTGAGAATCGAATGAGAATTGCCCAAGATATGGCTTTCGCTTTGGCCCATATATGAAAAAGCATGCTTTTTCCATTTTCTCAAAGGGGTGCCCACAGAAAAAAAGACAAAATATCGATGGGAAAACTGTATCCTAGATTTTGATGCAGATCCTTGAGTCTTCTAAGGGGTTTCCCTTCAGAATAGGATGAGAATTACGAAAGATATGGTTTTCGTTTTGAATCTTATATGAAAAAGCATGCTTTTTGAATATTTTCCCTTCTTTCGAAAGATTTTCTTTCAGTTTTCGATCATAAATCGGGTAGAAATTATAGTACTCTATAGGATTAGGATCCTATATTAGTTTCTCTCTGAAACAATCGAATGGGCTTTTTGGGAACTATAGTCACGAAACGCACTGTCGGAGCATGCTTTACGAGTGTGAGTGTGTGTTAGTGTGGGTGTGGATGGAAGTGTGTGGGTGTGCTGGGGGTTACCTTTCCGCCTCCACCTTGATCCGCTGCCTGATCACCTGCTGGCGCATGCACTCCAGAGTGGATTCCGAGAGTGTCTCCGAGATGCTGGAGGTGCTGGAGTCGCCTCCTCGACTGCTGCTTCTTTAGCGTTAGTAGTTGTAGTGTGTATGTGTGTGTGTGTGCGGGGGTGTATGGATGTATTGGATGTATGGGTGGGTGTGGGGTTACATACACATGGACAACAAAATACAGGCACCGACACACCGATAAGACAGAGAAAGAAACCGAAAGAGAGAGAGAGAGATGGGGACACAAAACAGATCCAAGTTAGTTCCATGAATTAAATGATTAGTATTGATATTAGTTAGTATAAGCCCACCACCAAGCCACAAGATGAAACCACCAAGCCAGGAGGATGGATGCTGGACCCGCCCTCTCACCTAATCTGATGCTGGTGCTGGTGCTGATGCAGATCCTCGTAGTTGGCGTAGTGCTGGTAGCGATGATTGAATATATCGTTCTGGTGGATGCCCCCGTTCAGCTGCGATCCCCCCGAGACTCCACCCCCACCCGAGTTGGGAGCGGGCAGGGGTGGTGGCGGCTGGTAGGCCGGTGGCTTGCCGTTCCTCTCCAGCGCCGCCAGGGCAGCGGTGGGTATCTGCTGCGCCTGCTGGACTTGCTGGGTGTTCGTGGACACCACCGAGCTGGGCGGGGAAATGGTGCTGTTCGCCGTGGCGTACGTATCCACGGGCACCACGCCGTCCTTTCGGTTTTTGCCGAAGCGGAACATGTGCCCGATCCCGCGCAGGATGCTCGGCTTCTTGGCGCGCGACGATTTGCTGCCGTGCTTACCGTCGTTCAGGGAGCTCTGGAAGGGACCGTTCCGCTGGGCAGAGAAGCCGCCCTCGTGGTCTCCCTCCTCCAGCAACCAGGTCTTGCGGGGTTCTGGAAGAGATCGGTTATTAGATGATGTCCTTGCTAGAGGTAGTCGTTACTTACTGTTGGCATCCGGTTCACTGACCACCGCAGCTCGGAGGCTGTCCTCCCGGCCGCGGCCACGGGGAGCCCGCAGAGCATGATGACCGCGCGGCTCGTCCGACATCTGCAGCTCCTGCACCATCGTCTGGAGCGACTCCAGCGACGAGGACTTCTTCAGGCCCAGCGATGGGCCCAAATCTCCCAACTGATCTCGGGCCTCCGATTCGGCCGCCATCTGCTGCGTTTCCCGCTGCTCGATGCTGGAGGCCGTCTTGGCGTGCTTGTAGCCCGTCCCGAACTGGGCATTGGCGCTGGCGATCCGCGCCGTCAGGGACTCGATGGAGCCGCCGTACACAGCCGACTTGGTCAGCTGGATGCGGCGCTCCCTTTCCCGCTCCTCGCGCAGCTTCTTGTTCCGCTGATAGGTGCCCGTTTCGCGGGCATCCAGCGCCGCATGGTGCTTCTCCGAAATGCTGCGCCGGCCCAGGGCGTCGCGCGAGAAGTGCTCCACCCCGGAATTCGTCTCCAGGCTCAACTGTGACGAGTAGGTGGCGTCGAAGTTGGAGGACGTGGATGGAGTGCCGGGAACGGGCACGGCTCCTGGAGCCGCTCCTCCGGCGGCCACTTGCTGGGCGGACGATGCGTTGGCGCTGCTCGGGTTGCAGTGCTGGACATCGTGAGGACGTGCCGGTAGAGTTCTAGAAGGGATTCAGATGTGAAAAGGTGGCACTAGGGATGGTGGGCTTCCAAACTTACGGCGACATTGGCTCGGAGTCGTCCTCGATGAGCATCGCTGTGTTGCCGTGTCCCGTCAGCAGGTGCAGCTGCGCCGGCGACCAGTTGTCGTTGGTGGCCATGTAGTAGCTCTCGTTCCGCAGGGCGGCGCTGTTGCAAGCCGGTGCTGGGGGCAGGCGTCGCTGCTGCTGTGGCTGCTGCTGCGGCGGATGCGACTGCTGTTGCTGCTGGGAGGGCTGCTGCTGCTGCTGTTGCTGCTGCGAGGAATGGGCTGAGTTGGAGGAGCAAATTCCACCGGTTAGACGATCCAAAACGGGATTGCTCCATCTGGAAGAAGAAGAGTTCGGGTTGAATGATCCCCTCAAGATCTGAAAGATTAGAAACCCTACCTATTCATCTCATTGCTGGAACTGCCGCCTCCACTTCCTCCGTTGCATCGCTGCTCCCGCTTCTCCGGGCTCAAGTAGATGACCGTGGCCCCCGAGTTGTCGCTGGCATTGGAGCTGCTGTTGTGGTTGCCGCTTCCTCCGCCCCCACTGCTGTTGCTGTTACTGTGGCTACTATGGCTGGTGCTCTGGTCGAGGATGTCGCTGGAACTGGCCGAGCGGTGGATCTTGCGGCCCACCAGTAGGGTTATGGTGCCCGGATGCTTGCCCGGCGTATTCACCATCGCCCGACGCAGGGTCTCCATGGCCTCGGCGTTGTTCTGTCCCCGCAGCGAGACACCATTGACGCTCAGGAGCTGATCGTTCATCCGCAGACGTCCGTCCCGCGAGGCGGCTCCTCCATGGATCACGTTCTTCACGAATATCCCCAGATCCCCGTCGTGCTTCATCGGGCCATTGGCGGAGCTGGTGGTGCTGGAGCCGGAGGCGTTCAGATTGGAGCACGTCTTGCCCTTCACACTCACTCCCAGGCCGGCCTTCTCTGTGTCGTGGACCGGGATGTGGAGGGTGAGCTCCTCCCGGGACTGCCAGCTGTTGCTGCTCGGCGGCAGGCTGTCCTGTTGGGGTGAAAGATAGACTTGGTTAGTTTCGGTTCTGGTGGAGATGCCACTCCCACTTACATTCGATGCCGCAGACTCGCTTCCCGCGTCGATAAAGTGCTGAGATTCGTTCAGCTGCTGCTGCTGGTGCTGGAAGAGCGACCTGGCACTGCTGGACTTCTGGACGGGAATCGGAGGCGGAGCTGCCGCAGGAGCTACTGCTGCTGGCTGGGCTCCAGCCGCGGCCTGCTCGCCGTTGCCATTCTGCTCGGCCAACTCCTGCTGGCGGGAGACAACAATCCTCACGGTGGCACCGGCGGGCATGCCCCTCAGAATGGCCACCACGTCCGTTTGGGTCTTGCCCGTCATGGGCGTGCCGTCCACCTCCAGCAGACGATCTCCGGGCTTCAGGCGCCCGTCCTCGATGGCGGCTCCACGGGGCAGGATGTTCTTGATGTAGATGGGGCAGTGACCGCCGGCGGGATTGTCCCGCGTAGTGACGGAGAAGCCCAGCCCGTTGGGTCCCTTCTTCAGTAGGATCTCTATCTTCCTGCCCAGCTTCCGGGTGTTGGCTACCTGCAGGGAAGTGCCCACCGGGGCGGCATGCGGCTTCCGGGTGGGCGAGACAGTGGCCACTTCCACCATTTCCGCCACCTTGGAGTCCCGCTGCTGGCGGCTGCGATTTCCTCGGTCGCCCCTCAGGACCCTCACCCGCAGCTCGGAGCTCTCCAGGGCGCGGCGGAGCTGCTCCTGCACCTGGGACTCGGTCAGGCCGATCAGCTTGATGCCGTTGATCTCCAGGATGCGGTCGTCGCGGCGCAGGCGACCCCTCTCCGCCCGCGATCCGGGCTCCACGTGCTGCACCAGAAGTCCGCCGCCGTGCTCCTTGTCCGGCAGGGCGGTGAGGCCCAATGGACTCCCGTACTCGTTGATGATCAGCAGCATCTCGCCGTCCTTCTCCCGGATCGACTCGTAGGCCTGGCCCAGCGGCTCCTTGCGCTTGCTCTCCCGCGGCAGGGACTTGCTGGAGTAGGCTCCGCTCTGAGCCGGGCCGGTGTGCTGGGAGGACGTGTGAGACTGCTGGACGGATGGTTGCTGTTGGTGCTGCTGCTGGAGCTTCTCGGCGGCCTCCATCCACTTGTAGCCGTTGCCGACGCCCAGGAATTGCATGGAAAGACGTCCGGATCGGGCGAACGGCTGGTGGTTACCTCCTCCTCCTCCAGCTCCGTTGCTTCCTCCAGAGTGGGGCTGCTGGTTGAGAAGCTGCTGGCTGGGATCGTCCTCCTCCTCCCACTGTGGCGACAGATGACCGCCGGCCTTCTCCATCAGCAGGCGCTCCGGCGAATCCCCGCCAGCGTAGTGGGGCGCCGCCGCGGACCAACGCTTGTTGCTCCCCTCCGCCTTGAGGGAGGCCAGCAGATTGGGATCGCTGCTCCGGCGCACCATCAGGCCCACGCCCAGGCCCGCCATCGGACCGGACGTGGTGCTGGTCACCTCGATGTGCGGCGTGGACAGATCTCGGGGGCAGGTGGGCGCCTCTGTGTTGGTGGGATCCCGAAAGATGTCCGGTGATCCAGTGCCCACAGACGAACTGCCGGACGCACCGTCGCCGCCACCCTGTTGCACGCCCGGATCCGGCCCGGGATCATCGAAATGGGCCAGAATCTGCTCCCTGTCGTCGGCCACATCCCGGACACAGTCGTCCGGGTCCAGAATGCCGGACTGTGTCTGCAGATGGGTTACCGTCACCCATGAATCGGGCTGGAAAGAAAGAAAGACAGTAAGTTGAAGTTTCTTTTGAAGATTGAGGCTCTTTTAGGCTAAAGTTTTGAAGAAATCTCTGCAAGGTTCATCACCTCCCATTACCCAATCCACGTAACTGCCTCTCGGAGGTGGTTCCCACAACCCCTCCACCTGGCACCTGGCAGGCACCTGGCAGTTTCTAGTATCTGGCCTGTGGTATCTCTTCCGCATCGAAGGCAGGCATAGGTACTGGCACAATACGTGTTGAGTCACCACGCCACATCTTGGATCTCCGATCTTGGATCTCGACTCACGTGGGCTGTCTTCAAGCTCAACTTGAACTCCCCTTGATTGACGCCGAAATAAGCCAGAAACCAGTGACTGGATGGGACGGAACGGGACGACCTCCAGCGCCCCAAATTGCAATAGCGTTGCTTTTGGCATTCCACTAGATTCCACAACAAATGCCATAAGGTACACTGAGAGAAATGGAACTAAGGTAGGTATTCTTTTTCGAGAGAACACTGTATTTCAAAGGTCTAGCCACTTTTCGAGGCTTTTCAGACCACTTTTAGTCACTCTTTAAGCAATATTATCTTTTTTAGAACTATCTCTCATGAATAGCAGTACATTATGTGGCAGCTTTATATAAGAAATATCTATATATTCATATGAAATGATCTATAAACTTAATATAATATTTTTTTAATCTAAAAATAAAAGTTTCTCTTATATAATCCACTAATAAGGTTATCATTCCCCTTTAAATATTTTATTTTATTATATATTATTATTATTTATTATTTTTATTATATATATTTTTGGATAAATATTTTCTCTCAGTGTTTAAGAGCCAAACAATTGCATCATGGCTTAAAAGAAAAACCAGTCAAAAGCGTTGGAGTCTCTGAGGCTCAGGCTCATGCCGAGCTGCAGAACTGGAACGTCGAACCTCCAAAAGTTGGCGCAATAATTTCGGCTATTTCTCTCTCATTTTATTAACTTTTGTTGGTTTTTTTTTTTTTTTGTATTATTTTTGGCTTGTTTTGGTTGGCGGTTTTGGCCGCATTGCTATTGTGGGTCAAAATTGGCATTCAGGTATTCTAGCTATGCAATCCGAGTGACTAACTAACTAGGCAGCACTGCCACAACTATCTATGATTAATGGATAATATTTTTTACATTTTTTTCAAGCAATTTTGAACCACTGTTCTGGACTGCAACTGTACGGCTCTGTTGGTATTTCTTTATGGTCATTTTTCAATGAAAATTATGCGGCAACGAGCTGCCACAACAATCTAGTTCTCATATATCATATACATGTCTGTATCTACAAGATCGGAGGAATGCCGAGTGATAGAAATAACAGATACCATATAGATAGTCTTAGATACTTTTTTTATACCCTTGCAGAGGGTATTATAATTTTGGTCAAAAGTGTGCAACGCAGTGAAGGAGACATCTCCGACCCTATAAAGTATATATATTCTTGATCAGGATCACCTCCTGAGTTGATATGAGCATGTCCGTCTGTCCGTCTGTCCGTCTGTCCGTCTGTCCGTCTGTCCGTCTGTCTGTCCGTCTGTCTGTTTCTACGCGAACTAGTCTCTCAGTTTTAAAGCTATCGTCTTGAAACTTTGCACACACCCTTCTTTCCTTTGCACGCAGTATATAAGTCGGAACGGCCCGGATCGGCCGACTATATCCTATAGCTGCCATATAACTGATTGATCGGAAATGGTATAACTTTGGTGTTTTTAGAGTTAGAGAGTTCAAATTTGACATGTGAGCTATTTTTGGCAAAACATTACGTCATGCCAAATTTCATAAGGATCGGCCGACTATATCCTATAGCTGCCATATAACTGAACGATCGGAAATGACCCAACTTTCGTGTTTTTGAAGATAGAAAGCTGGAACTTAGTACAGATTTAATTCTTGGTCAGTTGATCCAACCTACCAAATTTCATTAGGATCGGCCGACTATATCCCATAGCTGCCATATAACTGAACGATCGGAAATGGTATTTGGTAGAAATATCAACTTTCGTATTTTTGAAGATAGAAGTTTGGGACTTTTTTAGATTTTGTATTGTAATAAATTGGATTATATATTCCTATTCCCATAAGGATCGGCCAACTATATCCGATGTTTGCGATATATATCCGGTTTTAACTGCAAGGGTATATAAACTTCGGCTCCGCCCGAAGTTAGCTTTCCTTTCTTGTTTTTGTATCTTTTTACCTTAACACACGAGTAGGTTGAGGGCGAGGGCGGCCTCTTGGGCAGCGTTAGGGAGTAGGACTTGTGGAGCTGGCCATGGGGTATCCCCTCATGCTTGGCCGCCACCTTGTAGGTGTGGCGCCACCCGAATATGCCGCCCAGCTTGTTCGCCAGCGCCGGGCACTTGGGCGGTACATCGAACATGGCCGAAATCCAGTCCTAGATTTGGTTTAAATCTTTGGCTTAAATCCGCTGCTTGGATTACTTTGTTTGTTTGTTTTTTCGTTTTTATTGTTAGTTTGTTTGTTTTTTTTTTTTTTTATCGTTTGTTTACGTTTTCATGTTGGTATTGGTAAGTAGACTTTACACAAAATCGCGTCGTTGGCTTTTTTTTTTTTTTTTTGTTCACATTTTCACAGTTAGCGTTCGATTAGTAATACTCTGAGGAACATTTCACCGCTCAGTGGCCCTGGGAGTTCGAAAATAACAAACAAAAAAAATCGTAAATGAGTACCTCGACCGTGATTCAAGCCCTTAGTCATTATAAAGTCTGGTAATCTCGATGGCTTCTGCAGACACACGCGTTCTTATCGGTGATGCAACCTCGTTTCGAGATACCCTTATCTCGAAAGTGCATTGAATTGGCGCTCTCTTATCGGCGGTGGCACAGGGAAATGTCACGCAATAATAAAAACAATAACCACAATAGCAGACAAGAGCAGAAATCAAAAGTTGAGCTACATGTGCGCCATTGAAAAGCAAAAGTATTCGGAGGAAAAATAAAAAAAACGGAGTCATCGATAAAAATTGGGAATAAAAGGTCAGAAAATCTCATAAGTCATACAACTTTGCTGTTTTGGTTCTAATCAACCCATAAGGTCCTTTCAAATCTGTCCTTAATTGGCGCCAAGCTTCAAATCAGTGTTGCAAAACCGCCCTCTCTCTCATCACCTTCTCTCACACCACCCGCCATGATGAAAATTATCGAAATCCTTCTTCGCTTCGTATCCGGTAAGCGTCGTTTTCGTTTCTGCCCAATTGTGGGTGTTACACTGGGAGAAATGACTAAACCAGGTATTCGTTTTTGAGAGAACATTGTAGGACAACCCTCAAAGTCCTTTAACGGTCTACCCTCTCTACTCAACAAAATTCAAATCTTTCCTAATTGGCGCCTAGCCCCAAAACAGTATTGGAAAACACACGCAAATGCACTTGCGCTCTCTCACGTCCTTTCTCTCACCCGCTCTCACACCGCCCGCCATGATCAAAATTATCAAAATTATCAAAATCCTTCTTCGCCTTCTTCTTCTTCAATTCTGGGTGTTTACATTCCATAAATAGCTTAAAACAACCACTAAAATGGTAATGGACAATAGGATTTAGTCAAAAGTTTTTGAAAAAACATAAAAATCGCTTTAAATTACACTTCATTTTTGAAGGCTAGTTCTCGATGCCAGATCGGGTCTGTGCGGTCGGTTAGTGTTGTGAAGCGCCAGTTTGGCGTCTCCCCGTTATTTTCGATTAAAGCCCTTCCCTTTTCCGGCCTCTTGAAGAGAGTTATTCAGTAACTAATATAGTCTCTCTGCATCCCTAGTTAATAGATATATCCAATTAATTAATTACGACTTTTTAATTCAAAATCCTTTAATTTGATAAAATGTATAGAGGAAGCTCCACCCCTCGCAACTCTGCTCCACCCCTTGTTTTCTGGCAACTCTAAAGCCCACTGCGTTGGGAGAGTAAAGTCCCGTTAGCTGGAGTAGCGAATGGAAGTAAGTGGAATGGAGTGAGAGATGAGAGATATCAATGGAAGTACAGTTGCATTGTTTGTTTACATTTTTTGTTTACGTTTTTGAATCATTTTTTGAATGAGAATGTTTAATGTTTATTATTGCGAATTAATTGATTTTTTAATTCGATTAATCTAAAGTCTAATTAATTGGAAAAGAAACAAGTATATAAGAGAGAATAACAGAGAAAATACGGACTAACTGGCTATTATAGCCACACATTTCCACCGCTTTCACATTTCATTTAGGTTTATAATCATTTTACTTATATTGTGTCTAAATAGGAAACTGGTTTCGATTCTAAAAAGATTCAAACACACAAAGCTTTTGCTGTTTGCCTTTCCCATGCAATTTTCCAGGCTTTCCAGCTTTCCAACAAGTTGCATGGCCAGCACTTTATTTCTCGCCCCCTTCTCCCCTTTTGCATATTTCGTGCTTCGGAGGCATTTTTTTTTTTTTTTAACTATAACACACATAATGCCTTAATATATAGATAAATCAAGTGGCAGACACACTGTTGCCTAGGTTGTTGCAAGTTGCAACAGCAGGTTGAACTCAATTCGCAGAGGGGGAGAGGGGGTGGGGAAGAGAGGGTGGTTGGTTGAGGGGCGGATGGGACACACCTGTAATAAATACAAACAATGGCCCAGGCCGCACAATTTTTGAAGCGCCAGCAACGCGCTGAAGCATGACAAGATGCCTCACTACCTCCACTCAGCCCCCCCCCTGGCTCAGCCACCTGCCATCTGCCCCTGCCCCTCACCTTCCTCTTTCACCTGCCACCTGCCACTTGGCAAATGCGATTTATTTGCTTACTAGAAATTTTAGACAGGGCCGACTGTACTCGGTTACTATCTGAACATAGTCAGATACCCAGATACAGATACAGATACCCACATATAGATACAGATACTTTCGCATAAATATATTTTTTTAGGCCGAGCCAATATTTGCCAAAAGCCGAAAATAAAACCAGGCCGAAATCAAGCCGAAATTCAGATATTCTGAACCACATACTCATTCGTATTCGAATAGAGGTCATCCATGATTCGTTGGGGTATTCGATTGGTTCAATCACTACCCGCACTCTGATTAATTTGGAAAATTAGGGTCTGCTTTTGAGTTTGAAACCCAAAATCTAAAAAAAAAAGAAAATAAAAGTCTCTGAATCACCCTATTCACTGGGGACTATTGGCTCAACCAATCAACTCATTCGTAGTCACATCCATTATCGTATTCAGATCTCGTTTGAATAACCAATTAGCGGGAAACCCTTTTTGGAAAATTGAATTGAAAATCACTGAAAAGTACTCGCAAATTTGCATTAAAATGCGATCATATAAACCGATTCATATGTTGCGATTCAGCCACGCCCTGGGAGACCAAAAAAGAGGCGGGTAGGCTGTCAGGGATCTTTTTTTTTTCAAAGCCATAATTTGCAATCAAGGCGGCCCACAAGATGCCGTGAGGCTCCAATCAGAGAGGGGAGAGCAGGGGCAATGGAAAGAAAGGCCAAATTACATGTTGTCATTATGCATGCCACATGAGGCACTGCCACAACGGAGCTGGGAGGGATGGGAGGGCAGAAAAAATGCTCATAATGAAGTGTAACAAAAAGTCGGATAGATCTGAGGGCGTGGTCTGAGTTCAGAGGTCAAGTAACGGAGCAAATGCCGCTTTTCCAAGAAGTGGTTTTTGCAGTTTGTCCTTTGTAGACCAGAGGTAGGGGGGGGGGGTTGGCTTTATAACACTTTCCTCGCACAGGTCTCGCAAGTGAAAGGAGAGCGGCCGGCTGGCACCTTTCTCCGCCCCTCCTAAAGATATATACTCTATTTTCCATGTGATTAGCACACCGAGAGGGCCTTATTCAAATAATTAGCAACCAATAGTGTCTCTCTCTTGGGAAAACACATGGTTTGCCAGGTGGGGGGAGAGCACCTGAGGGTCACCTGAGTGAGAAGCTGGAACAGCTGCGACCGTCAAGAAGTGAAACTGCAGTTGCTGCCCATTTAAGGCTATTAGTGGCAGTTGCAACGCTTTCTATTTCTGGCCATCAAGCACTCTAATTACTAACCAATCGGGGGAGATATGACACTGAGTGGGTGGTTGGGTGGTTGGGTGGTTGGGAGTTAGAAAACAATCGAATACCATTGTGGGGAAATATTTCACAAGCCATTGCAGTGAAAAGAAAAGCCACTCAAGGGCTCTAAACCACTCCCCTTGGGTTGATGGCCCATGAAGGTCTGGAAGGAGTGGGGGGACCGGACCTTTAAGACCTCTGGTACCTCTGGCTAGTACCACCCACACCCCTCTGACAAACTGTCATATATATCTGCATAATGCGATGTACTCGCTGTTGGGTAATATTATTAATTGCCGAGCTGGGGAAAACTTTCATCTGTTTTCCTAGTCGTTTTTTATAAAGTAGAGCGTCGTTGCCATAAAAACTACTACTGCACTTACAAGCTCCAAAGCCAAAGCCAAACGAAAGTTGAACAACAAAAGCGGCTTACAGAGCTGGAAGCGTAATTGCCTTGCCATTGCCGAAAAGATGTATATGTTTCTGTTTTTTTTTTTTTTGGCTTTCAACCGGTCTTTATAGCCAAAAGTTTACTGAACCTCCTCCAGAGGGGGGAGGGGTTTGGGGCACATCATATGAATGAATGAATAAGCTCGACTCGACTGCGATTGAGTAACTTGTGATTTTAATTGATTTAAACGGCTGTGTGACTTTTGGTTAATTGCTCGTGAAAGATAACCAAAGATATGGTAATGAGGAAGGTGACGAAATCCCATACATCCCATTCCACCAAAGAAAGCGGAGGGATCTTTAGACCACGTGCTGACTTAAGAGGCAGGTCACTTGAGTTCACTGTCACTTTCACTCACTCCGTACTCTCGGTACTTGTTGGCTGGACAACGAGTTCGTGTTGTGGCTTTCGGTTTTGGCCACTTTGGTGACAACCCGAAACAGTTAATCAAGACCTGTAACAATAACTGTTCATTTCTCGACGGTTTCGATTTATTGGTATTTATACTTTGTTTAAGCTTTGTATGGGAAACAATCTGAAGAACCTCTACCGGTCCAAGTCCCCTGGTCCAAGAACCTGGCCCGCTGATTAACGTTAGTAATGGGTAGGAAAAACCTGTAGATACCTGAAAAGGTATTTTATCAAAATCGAATCATAACGCAAACAAACCAAAAGCCCACTCGGCCGTAACCCGAAAGTTATTTTATCTCGCCAGGATGATAAGATTAACGTCCATGAGACACCACAACCCGCCAAGAACGGAAGGCAAACAATAGCATATATCGCTGGTAGATAGAACCCAACCCCAGGCCCACTCTAGTGGGTCAGAACCCACTGAAGGCCAACCACATACTCGCGAAAGAGAACTGGTGGCAGCACCACGCCCCTGCTTTGGTTTTGGTGGTGCAACCTGCTTCCAGTTCCAGTTCGGAGGCGGATTCTGGTTCTCTGTT